GAATTTATCCTATATTTAGCCCATGAATAGGGTCCATGAATGGGTATTGTATGCTGTTATAGACTGTATGCTTGTCCCTCCCACCAAATTCATATGTTGAAATCCTAAAGCCCAGTATGATAGTAGGTGAAAGGAACTATGACCTTTGGGAGATAAATAGAACATGAGAGCAGAAACCTCATAAATGGAATCATTGCCCTTTATAGGAGATTCCAAAGAATCCTATCACCCTCTTTCTACCACATATGGCTGTAACATGTAGTTGGCTGTCTGAAACCTGGACTTGGGCCCTCACCAAATCTCTGATTAGAGTTCCAGCTTCCAGAACAGTGAAGAATGCCTTTCTTTTGTTTAGAGGCCACCCGGTTTATTTTACATTGCTATAGCAGCCCAAACAGGCTAGGATATATGCAAAATTTTTGATGTATGCATTTTTCTGGAGGGTAGATCCAAAGTAGAGATGAATTAAAAAAGAATTCATAACCCAAAAGTAGTTAAGAATTATGATTTAAATGAACCAGTCCTTGCCTGGTGTAGTGGCACATGACTGTACTCCCAGCACTTCGGAGGGTGAGGCAGAAGGAGCGCCATGAGTTTGAGGCCAAACTGGGCTATATAGTGAATTCAAAGCCAGCCTGAACTACCTGGTGAGACTCTGTCTCAAGCTAAAAGAATAATAATAAATAGTAAATAAATAAATGAACCAATCCTTGACCTTAACTGGGTAATACACCCTTGTATTTCAGTCTCTCCAGCTGTGTTTGGTTAAATCATTCTTCTCTCCATCCTAAACTGTGAAAGCTTTCTAGAAAACACAGCCAAAGGCAGGAGTATAAAACCCTAACTGACAGCATAACTCATGTGAAAATGAATAGTTCCATTGTACTTCAGCTTCTCAATGGAACAGGTGTAATGGTCAACCTCTTAGATAACTTGAGTATAGTGAAACAATCCCCAAACACTTTTCAGCCAAGGCTTTAAAAATTTGAGTTTCTGTATCCGTTCCTCATAAGACTTATTTCTTCTTCCCTGTAAAATATGACCTCATTTAGATGTCTCCCCCTTTATATGCAGTCTAAATCAGCATTCTTAAATACATATGCTTCATTAAATACCTGCAAAGCACCCTCTCAATGTGCTCTCAACCCTAAAATTTAATGCTACTATCTATATAGTCCAAATCTGTGATTTGAAAAATGTACTCTTTGAATAGCAGTGATTTTAAAATTAAATTGCCACAGAAAAGGTTTTTAAAGAGGAAATTGTAACTGCCTATTCTGATTTTTGAGGATTTGGGTTCTAAGATGTATAAAAGCAAAAGGACCATGCAGGGAATATAGGAAAACCACTTGTCTAAGATCAGTTTCCCCATTTATAAGTGGGAGAAACTAAGATGTGTCAAAAATGTAATTCTTAGAACCAATACCAATGACTGATGAGCTGGTATTGGCTCTCTTTGTAGATGAGGTATTCTGCCTCTATTCCCTCGTATCCTAATCTCCTCTGAAAACAGCCAACCAGGGATCCCTTTCTCTTCTTTTTCTCCTCCCGCTCCTCCTTCTTCTTCTCGCTCCCCCTTCCCGTTCCCCTTCCCCTTCTCCTTCTTTTCCCTTTTTGAGACAGGGTTTCACTATGCAGTTCAAGTCGGCCTTGACGTCACTTTGTAGCCCAGGCTGGCCTGGAACCTGGGGCAATCCTCCTGCCTCAGCCTCCTGTGTGCTGGGATTACAGGTGTGCACCACCATGCCTGGCTCCCTTTCATTTCTGTTATGAGTCTGAACCCCACAAGCTTACATAACTCATGTCTCTGAGGATCATGGGTACTAAAACAACATTTCAATATAAAATATTGAAGAAGAAAAAGGTAAGAAAACAGTGGAGTGGGAAAATCCATAGAAAGATGAAGAGAGATGAGAGAAGATGAGAACAAGAAGAAATAAGTCAGCTAGCCTATAGTATGAGAGCTGACTCTCCAGACAGGCCCCATGGGAGCATCAGCTTAAAGATTTGCCCAAAGCCAGGGCCTTATCTCTGCAGAAAGCTAGAGCTTTAGTGAAAACCCTTTCCTTGGCAGATCAACTAATGCTGTTCTATTTCGCAGTCTGGTGGGCACATAATGGAAGAGGACTTCAGACTCATCAGCTGCCAGCTAGCTGCATGACTTTCAGTAAATAATGTAACTCTGTGAGGCTCAGTTTCTTTACATGAAAGTATATTATATAAGTCAGCTGTTGTGGCTTCCTCGATGTCCTGAACTGATTCAAAATGCTTACCTTTCATGGTCATCTGAGAAAGAACCAGAAGTCACACAGTGCCAATCCAGTCAGTAAGGCCAACGGGGACACACCGTGATGTTTTCAAAGCCTGTCTTTGGGGTGGCACTCTGCAGCAACATTCACCATGCTTTTTAATCACACCTTGAAAGATACTCATGACAGCAGACTTCAAATTTTGCTTTTGGTTTTTCTTTTCACAAAATAAAAGAATTTCAAAAAAGAAAGTGCCATGAATGGTGGTGTAAGTGTATTTAAAATAAAGGAGTATTTTGAGAGGGATTGATGGCAATGTGTCTTCTACTGAAATATATTTTTAAATTTCAAACACTCACTGTAAATTTCTATCACACTTCATAACAACTCCTGAGCTGAGGATACAGCTCAAATGGCTTGGGTGACACCTCAGTGGCACAGTACCTGCCTGGCAAGCTCAAGGTCCTGAGTTTGATTTCTAGTACAAACAAAACAAAACAAAACAAAAAAAAAACCAACAACAACCCACAAACTCCTGTAGTATTGCTGTATTCTACAGGACAGGAATTCAGAAGGGACACAGCGGGTGTGGCTTGTAGTCCTGATTGTCTGGGAATGATTCATTTGAGAGGTGATTCAAATGTCTGGAAGCTAGAATCACCTGGAGACTGCTTTACTGGCATGTTCAACCTTTGAGCTAGGACTTGAAGTCTGAATTTAGCTGAGTCTGTCAAGTAGATCACCTCATTGTGGCTTCTTGTGGGGGATCTGGCTTCCTACAACATGGTAGCTCGGTTCCAAGAGGCCATGTCTTGGGACTGAGCATCTGCAGGGTAAGCATCCCTAAAGTATAAAGGCTTTTATACCTCATCAGAGTAATCACTTAGAGGCAATTCTGTTGTATTTTATTGACTATAAGCAGGTCACTAAGGCTAGCCTAGATTGTAGAAAATGAGCTCGCATCATGAATGAATCATTTCTGGGGCCACCATTTTTGCATAAGTACAAGAAGCCACAACTGACACTGTGGCAGCAGCAGTGCACATCCCTTCGATGTACAAAACATACTCACACCTCCTCAAGATCCTCAGAGTCGCATCCCATTATTGCATCAGCTCAAAGTTGATGTTTTGCCATCTGATAAGGTTTCTCAGGTGCAGTCAAATGTAGCTCCTGGAAATATGCAGACCTGTGAGCTCAAGAGACAAGTGGTCTTAAGCTCCTTGAACTAGGACAAGGTGGCTGAATAGACTGCCCAGCCTTCACCTCCTCCTCTAGAGGAAGAAAAATTACAGCTGTATAACTGCAATTTGCAGTGAGTGTCTGTGGCAGAACACTAGGAGTCAGCAGGAGATAGCAGCTTGTAAGATTCAGAGATCTGGAACACCACATTGTACGAGAAACAAGATACTCCACCACCTGTCATCTTGGATCCACAGGCGGGGGAGAGGGAGTCGCTCCTTTGCAGGGGTAAGGATGAAAGAGAGAGTACCAGAAAACTATCAGTGCAGATTCTGGCAGTCTTGGCTGCTAGAGAGTTTATAATCCTCACAGACTTGGAGCCACTTAGATAAATAATCTGAAATCTACATGGTAGCCTTGTTTTGGAAAAGGATCTCATATCATCTCCCACAAACCCTCAGGGTGCCATAGGAAGAGCCATCATACGAAGGGAACTACTGAGTTTAGAATGTATCTATAGAGGTCAGAAACCTCTGCATATTCCCATCTCTGCGACCCCACAGGACAGTCTACTGCATTGACTCGGGGTAGGGGGAGGTAGTAGCTGTCTCATGCACCAAACTTGGCCCAGCAGGGTGACTCTGACCGAAGCCTACAGGATCCCCTGCACTGGTTATGACATAGAGGGGAAATGAAAGGCATCAACCTTGAGAACCAGGAGATCAGGGAAATTGTTCTCTGAGCCCAAGGGCATGACCAGGGCCAGGACTGAAGGCAGATACCCATGTGGTTCTTGCCACTCCCTTCCCTGTGCCAAGCTCAAGTGCCTGCTACTGACAGGGCGGGAGGGTGGGGCAGGATTTTGTGATTCCCAGTGCTTCCCTATCTGCAAGGATGTACTGAGGCAGCAGAAATAGACACCATGGTTCCTGCTGTCAACCCACCTGTGTAGTTCCCACTACTGGCTGCCCCTATACTTTATCTGACCACGCAGTGGCAGCAGGACTGGGCATGAGGGCTTCAAGAGGGATTCTTGCAGTTACTTCCCCCATCTCTTCCTCCCCAGGGTCTGGGTCCACACTACTGAGAGGTCAGAGGACAAGTGTTTCAGACCCTTGCTACTAGCAGAGCTGGCATCAACAATGCCTGAGGAAAACTCCATTTCCTGATAGAGGCCCCACCACCATTGCGAAAGTTGCTACGTAGCACCCCATACCCACTGCTGTCTGCAGATCTACCTGAACTGCTAGAATGTCCCTGCTCCTGTGTGTCCCACAGAAGTAGTGGGACTCTCTGATTCTGATACAATAGGTATTGTGCCCAAACTCACTCATCACAGCAAAAGCACCTACAGGGAGAGGACATGGCAGTACCTCACTAGAATCAAAGCAAACATAACATAGCAAACCAAATAACCAAACATCCAAGATGCATCTTCAGGAGAAAGCTGCTTGTTAAAAAGGGACCAAGGAAAGTAGTAGAGGTAGAGATATGTGGGTAACCAATGCACAAATGTTGGTATAGGATCACAAGAAATATGGAAAAAAAAAGATAGCTCCAAAAGAAAGTAATAATTGTCTAGCAACAGATTTCAAAGAAATTTAAATGGATGAAATATCTGATATAAAGATATTCAAAGAATGATAATTTTAAAAACTCAATGAGATCCAAGAAAATGCGGAGGAACTGCTAAATGAAATTAGGAAGGCAGTGTGGGCTATAAATGAGAAATTCAGCAAAAAGATAGAAATTTTTAAAAAGAGCCAAACAAAGCTTGGAAATTAAGAACTCCAAAGTCAAAGAAAAACTACAGTTGAAAATTTCAACAACAGACTAGATCAAGTGTAGAAAAGAATATCTGAGCTTAAAGATGACCTTTTGAAATATCCCATGCAAAGAAAGCCAGAAAGAAGGAAAGAAAGAAAGGGAGGGGGAGAAAGAGAGGAAGAGAAGAGGAGAAAGCAAGAATGAAAGAATTCAAGATGTTTGAGGTTAGAAAAAAAATGAAATGGAAGAGGGAAAAGAAAGGGGAGTAAACAATTAAGATAAGTACATGCACCTAGTCCCTCAGATGAGTGCAAAGATGTACTAATAAAAAATTTTTAAAAGATATCTGGAGTTGGAAGTAAGGTAATGGAATATAAGTATTCCTCACATGACTCTGAGAGTGACAAGAATCAGGGCAATGAAAGAGACTATATTCTGAGAGAAAGGGGAAGAGCTATGGGAATTAAGAAAGAGGAGACAGGAAAGCCTAAAACCACAGAGAAGAAGAAAGGCAATTCCGAGAAAAGTATAAAGCAGTCTCCCCACTTCCACGGCACGGGGAGAATACAGGCAACCCTGACAATGACCACAGACGGCAGTCTTAGCTGCAGGAACAATTTGTGGTTCTTTTTAAATATTAGATGAGTTGTGACTGTGACTCCTCCAGCTAACAAACTAGAGAAGAAATCTAATACAGTCATCCCGCGCTATATCCTGATTCACTTATTGTGGCTTCAGTGTATCGCAGGTTTTTAAAAACTATATATCTAATTCTGTACTGTGGAGTTTTCACTATATCTCAGGATTTTGCAGTATATAGGTATTAATATAATATTTATGATTTTAATTATTTTTGCCTAAAAAATTTAAAGCAATATGAAATTAGAGAACATTAATTCATACATATTAAAAGAATATTAAATCGAAGTAAAGCACAGTATGTATTTCATCAGAGGATGCATCCCATACTGTACACAATGGAAACGCAGTATGCCACTACCGCTTGCGCAAGTTTGCCAACATTCGATTGTAAACGGCACACTACTGGCTGATGGAATGGAAGGCGACCAACCACAGCACTGTGTTCTGTATCCTGGGTGCTGATTGGCTCAGTGACCATAGCATCGGTCTGTTTGCTCTCCCACACTGTGCCCATACATTCAGCATCTCTCCTTTCCATTTCACATCGAGTACCCTTATAGAATTTTACATGTCATTAAAATTACATAGGTTTAAGAGTGTAGAAAGTGTTTAAGAGCATATGAAGTATTTATAAGAGTGTGGGAAGGGTTTATAAAACCTTAAAATATATATAACTAATTAAATAAATATAATGCTACTTCGCCAATATTCACCTGTTGCAGGGATCTCTGGAACGTAACTCCTGCGATAGGTGAGGGATCACTGTGCATCACTCAGCACCTCTCCGAGTGTGATAACCAGGAGCCATCTTGAGAAGGGCCCATTGTTAGGCAATAAGTACCTGGTGATCAGGAAGCAATATTCACAATCTGGGGTCCCTCAGGACATCCTGTCACAGTGACTGATGGGAAACAGCCATGAGAAACCGTCATAGAAAGAGGAAGGGTCTGACATAAACCTGCAGTTTCATGAGTGGGAACCCTGGCTGTGGAGGGTAAAGTGTAGGGAGGATTGGTGACCACTGTGTCAGGAACTGCGAACAGTCAGGTGTGGCTTGGGATCACAGCCAGGTCTCAGAGCACTCAGACTGAGACCAGTGGATGGCTTGGTTCCTACAGGACCCCTAGTCTCATGCGAAACTCAGTGGCCCGTATCCTTCCCCCACTGTCTGAGCATTAAGGGCTATCCTGAGGCTCACATATTTGTCACACCTGTGGGTACACAGATTGCGGCACTCTGGAGTAAATTAGCACCTTCCTAGCCCACATGCTACCAAAGCTCATGCAGGCTAGGGACAGTCCCAAGTGAACACGCAAAAAGCCTGCAGGGTGAATCCAGCCTTAAGGTAGCACATATCCTTTAACTGGCCCAGTGGGATAAGTGGAGCTGGGCTTAGCCTGCACACAGCACTAACTGTGAGAGTTGAAAGGAATTGTTATAGTCCTCCCAAGCCTGGCAGATTTCACCATTACAGGACCCAGAAACAAACTTCTCTAACTCAAGTACACAGCAGGGTGGAATAAAGATCTTCCCAGATCAGTATAAACTAATTTGTGACCACTAAACTTGCATTACAGAAGCTGGACATGGTGGTGTATGCCTGTAATCCCAGTACTCAAGAGGCTGAGGCAGAAGAATTGCCATGAGTTTAAGTCCAGTGTATATTATATAGTGAGACCCTGTCTCAAAAATAAATAAATAACTAAATAAATAAACCCACATTACAGAAGATACTTAAAAGAATCCTACACAAATAAGAGCAAGCAAGAAAAAAACACAATTGTGAGGGCCTAGGGAAAAAAACTCACTAGGAGAGAACGTAAGCAAATGAGAATTATGAAAGATATAAACATTACTAATTCAGTAAACCATAAAAGCCCCAAGATAAATAAAGGAGAAAGAAATGAACTAGATTATTCAAAACATCCAGAAGAATACCAATAAAATGACAGAAATTAGTACATACCTTTCAATAATAACCCTGAATGTAAGTGATATAAATTCTCTAGTTAAATGCAGACCATCTAATTGAATTAAAAAGGAAGACCCAAAACTTTGCTGCATGCAAGAAACTCATCTCACTGACAGAGATAGGCAAAAGAGAGAAAACTACAAGTCAAACAGAAATTTTAGATATACAAACAAAATACTTTGAACAAATAGATCATCAAATAGGCCAGCAAGTACATTTTAAATTATTCTCAAAAAATAAACAAAAATGAAAACACAACTTACCAAATCTTGTGGGATGCAGCCAAAGCAGTACCACACGACATGTTTATAGAACAATGTGCACCTCCATTTTAAAAGAAAAAGAGCTATTTTTTTGTCTTGTTTTTGGTTTTTTTTCTTCTGGTGCTGGGAATCGAACTCATGACTTAGTGCTTGCCAAGCAGGCCCTGTGCCGCTGAGCTAAATCCCCAGCCCCCGGAACTATTTTAAATAAACAACCTAACAATGTATCTTGAAGACTTAGAAAAGCAAGAATGAAACACAACCAAAATCAGTAGAAGGAAAGAAATAACAAAGGTCAGAGAGGAACTACAGTAAGTAGTACCTTGGTTTACAAACTTAATTCATTCCACAAATCTGGGACTTAATACATACAATTAATTAGTGTTAATTGGGGAGGATGCTGAGGGAAAGGGGATGAGAAGAAGTGTTATGTACATGTACCAACTCCTCACAAGAAATGCAAACAGTCTATACTGCAAGCATGTTAAAAAAAAAAAACGGAGGGGATCAAGAGTAGGATGGGGGTGGAGGGAAGGAAGGGTAAGGGATAAAAAGGAATTAAATTATATATTATGTGTACAGTTAATTTATTTATGTATTATATACATAATTAATTAGATTTTGTGTTATGTATATAGTTAATTATGCATTTAATTATGTATTGTGTACATCTACCAATTTCCCCCAAGGAATGCAAACATTATGTACTACTAACATGTACTAATAAATAAATAAATGGTCTTTGAGAGAACTATAATCAATATGAAAGTACTCATGAGAGACCATCTTACATCTTTCAGTGGTTTGCGAAGACATTTGAAGTAATTTCTTTGTGTATATCTTTGCTCTGGGTCTTCCTGATAGCTCCTGGATTTGACCTTTGCCCTGAGGGCTTTTCTTACTGAGAATGATTTGCTTACTGGAAAGAATGACTTTAGCCCTCTACACTCCCTCTAAATTTTCCTGGAAATCTGAGCCACTCTTTTTTCTCCCGGACTATTTTATCATTTGTAGCTAAAGTAAACCAATTGGTATTTTTAACCTTCTGCCAGGAAATTTTGGCCAACCCTAGCTATTATTTAGATCAAGTTTCTGTTTTCCATGTTAGTACAGGTGACAATATTGTTAAACAGTTTACTATAACTTAGCAAAGTCACCTTTTTACCACTCTTCAGTAATAATTTCCTCCTGACACTTCCAGCTTTCACTAACAGTCCTCTCAAGGTTAGTCCTTTCACTAACACATGTTCAAGACCATTTGGACTTGAGACACAAGTATACAAAGAGACAATGACCATACAATATATAGATAAGACTTTGACCCAAATCTGAAACAACCAGCCTAGGAAGCCAACACATTATCTATGGTAGCCAACCCAGGAAGTCTGCAAACTGTAAGTCAGACTTATAGAAAGTCATACTACTTGTCTTGGTTTCTTTTTCATGGTTGGGGCAAAATACCCAACATTCATGAGTTAAAGGAGGAAAAGTTTATTTTAGCTTAGTTTGTAGAGGTTTCTGTTCATAGGCGGCTGGTCCAAGGCACGGGAGCATGGCAGAAGAGAAACAGTTCATTGCATGGCAGGCAGGAAGCATCAATCCCTCCTTCTTTCCCTTTTTATTCCATCTACACTGCAAACCTATTGGTTGGTGCCACCCACACCCAGGGTGAGTCTTCCCTCTTCAGTAAATCCATCACCCATGCCCAGAACTATGCTAAACCAGTGACTGAAGTAATCCAGTATCACATACCCATGATCTGGTCACTCCCCAAAGCCCTATCTGTGAGAACATGAGGCATTGAGGGGACATCTAGATATAAACCATAACACTGCTATCTGTAACAATAGTCCAGGAAGTTAAAGTGTCAGCAGGGCTTTCTTCCTCTGAGGCACTAGGGAAGAAGCTGTCCATGCCTCTTTCTTCTAGAGTCTTTGTCCAAATTGCACTTTTCTTAGAAGGACACCAATCATACTGAATTTAGGGTCCACTGTAATCCAACACGACTTCATCTTAACTTATTTACAACTATGAAGACCTTATTTCCAAATAAAATCAGGTTCACACGTTCCAGATGAATAGTACAGTCCAGGCCAGTACAAGTACTGACAGTGCAGAGCTCATTCTGTCTAACCCTACTTACAGTCATGTGATCATACTTTCTATAACATACCAAGTAATTCATTGAATTACAACAACAAGCAATATTCTCCTGCTCTTAGGTACTTTAATTTGAAAAATGGCTTCAAATACTTTTCTTGATTCCATAAAGATTTTAATAAAATTACAAAAAACACAAAATAAAACATTGTGGCTATTTTCTCCAAATAAAAACTAGATTTTGCTCATCCATCTGCATATTTGTAAGAGAGTACAAATGTAAATTTCAAGAAATTCCACCCAGTCTATAAACTTCTAGGATGTAAACTTCAGAATAGTAGAGTTCCTAGCCAAAGTGAATTTACATTTGACTGCGTTCAGTTTTACTACTGCATAAAAGAAAAAAGATTTCATAACAGCTACTGGCAGTTCAGAGAAGTATTACTGGAAAAGGAGATAAAAAACATTTCCTACCACATCATAAGACAGAAGGAAATGTGTTAGTTATTTTTGATTAAATTAAGTGATATCTGTTTAATTAGGACTATTTACATATCAAGAATATACAATAAGACCTACAAATTTAAGTATGCAAAAAAGATATATTAAAAATTGCACATCAGAGTACAAGAAAATTATTAAGATATTATATTTAATCACCTATATTATTTAGCTCCTATTACTTCTAATTGCATTATTAACTAACCCTATCATTGTTTATTAATAGGAGTTCTTAAATAATAGCCTATTAACTTATAGAATGCTTTTTTGATAACAAATAATTTACATGTTTGTATACATACGTGATCTCATATTCTGCTTTTAAGAATATAGAGATTTCGGGGCTGGGGATTTAGCTCAGTGGCACAGCGTCTGCCTGGCAAGTGCAAGGCTGTGAGTTCAATTCCTAGTACCGGAAAAAAAAGAAAAAATAGAGATTTCAATGAGCAGTAACTCCATTAATTTCATTATACATCATAATCATATTTTCTGTTTATTTTATGAATTAGAAATGTATAGCCCACTTAAAAAACATTAATTTGAAGCTAGCAATCATTTTAATAGGAAGTAGACAATATTTATTATTTTTTCTAAAATGAGAATTGACCATAATTGAAATACATATTTCATGATATGACTTAGTTAAATAAGTACTGTTTAATAATATATACTTAATCTGAGAGAGACCACATAAAAGTTTTATCTCTAGCCTAGATATTTAATGTATCTTTTAAAAACTGGTAGTCCTAGAACTCATCCAAGGTACACTGAAAGAATCAGTGTTATTAACTTAAAGAGATTTGCCGGTCAAAATTTTCTTCCTTCTAGCTAATAACATGGCCCTAAAGGTGACTGAGAATAGCTAAGATTTGCTAATGTTTAAACATATTTGAAAAGCTGTTTTCCTCACCAATATTCAATGCACTACCAATCAATATCTTCACCAATATTTCTCACCAATCTTCTGCTCTTTTGGACTCTCCCCCAAAGAACGCTGGGTTCCTGACAAAAACCTATAGATGAAGGAGACAAAGGCATCCAACAAAAATTGTCATCAGTTCCACCAACCCACGCTATAATATCAGAACTGCAAGCATTTCAGTGTGAGTTGAAGCACCGACTGTCTAATGCTAGTTTCACTTTAAGAGAAATATACTTAGAACAGAGAGGAGACAGGAAGTTTAAACATTGGCGTATCTTGATCGATTGCACAAAGGAGCTGCCTTTTGGTTTAGCGCAGGAGGTAGTTACCTCAAGAGCTCACCTCTGAGATGGGACGTGGCAGACAAGCTGCCTTTTTACATACAGTGAGAGAAACAAGTTAGGGATGTGAATGCAATTCCCAATGCATTCTCATGTGGAAAATTTTTAAGAAAGAGTTCATAAACTGTTGAAGACCTGCTCACCGATTTCTGTAAACTGTTTTCTTCTTGAAGTCCACTGGTGCAGGAGAGAACAGACGAGAGCGGCCACACTGCACACGTGTGGTGTGACAGTAGGGCTCACTGAGGGCCTCCAGGGGAACAAATGCAGTGAACTTGGAGTGAAGCTGCTCAGTGTTTCACCGGACACAGCAGCTGTGCGGATGGGGGCATGAGGAGCTAGAGATCTGAGTCTGACCAGAGTCGTGCATTTATCCAAGTAAGTAGTTTTGAGAATTTAAAGATGTGGTGCAGGCTGGCGAGAAACAATGAGGGCTCAGTAGAGAGGACTGTACAAGGAATTGTCACAACATGCTATTAGAGTCTACAGCGGTATATTTTTTTTTTACGTATTTTAGCACCTGGCTCAGCACACCCTCTTGGACTGGTCTGTAATACACACCAGAGAGTGACTAAGATGATGGAGAATGGCATTTAAGCTAAGTGACAAGGGCTGTGAGGGCCTGGGAGGAGGGAGAAGGCTCAGAGAAAAGGTGAAAGCGTCAAGGATTAAAAGTCTGGTGGGGCTGAAAAATGGTTAGAGCTGAAGCCCCTTAGGAAGTGAGCTGAGCAAATGGTATTGAGACCAGGATGATTAAAATGGAGGTTATACAAGATTTACTATTATTTGCAATCGGACCTAGGGTACTGTTAATAGAAATATAAGGTTGCTCACATATAAAATTTTAAATTTTTTTTTTTTTTTTTTTGGTACCAGGAATGGAACTCATGACCTCACCTTTGCCAGGCAGACACTTGTACCACTGAGCTATATCCCCAGCCCCTTATAATTTTAAATTTTTCTACCAAGGACATTTTCAAAGGTAAAGTGATAGGTGAAACTCATCATAAAAAGTTGTTACTTAATTTAGATATCTAAACTATCATTATAATGTGTAATTGATATAAAATTATTAATGAAGTATAAATATATTACATACTTTAAATCCAGCAATTATTATACACTTTAGTACATTTCAATTTGACCTAGCCACTTTTTTGGGGAGTGGGAGGGCATCAAACCCAGGGTCTCTTGGATGCTAACCATATACTCTACCATTGACCTACACCTTCTGCCCCTAACCTAGCCACGTTTCAGTGATATAAGCCAGAAACAGAAAGACAAGAATTACATTTTCTCTCGTGTAGAAACTAGAAAGAAAGAAAGAAGAAAGAAAGAAAGAAAGAAAGAAAGAAAGAAAGAAAGAAAGAAAGAAAGAAAGAAAGAAAGAAAAGGCCTGAAAGCAGAAGAGGGACTATTAAGGAAGGGGAGGTTCATAGGGAGAATGTGATTGGAGGAGGATGTATACACGTATGAAAATGTCACAGTGAAGGCTATCATTTTCTACAATTAATGAGTTAATATTTATAATTTAAAAATTGTAAAAGAGTAAAGCAATAGAAACTCTGCTTCCAGCTAAGATGGAATAATAGAAGACTCACATTCTAATCTGAAAAAAACTTTAAATTTTTTCAATGAACGAGGAGTTCTCAAGATACTAGATCTCTAACAACAAAAGAAAGTGATTCCTGAAAGACTAGTGAGTGAATAAATTGTGGCATATGCATGCACTAAAATATTACTTGCCAATTAAAGGGAGTGAACTGTTGATACATGTCAATAAATCTAAAATGATGCTAAGTAAAAAAATAGCCATACAAAAAGGGTTACATACTACATAATTCCACTCATATAAAATTGTAAAAATCTCAGATAAACACAGTAGCAGAAAGCAGAATGGTGTTTAGGGTTTTTTTAATAAAAGGAATGAGTGGTATGATGGATCCAGTTGTCCTGATTGTAGTGACGGGCCTATGTAAATGTCAATGGAAAAAGTGATCAGTTATGAATATGGTAGCTTTACAATTAGTGGCATAAGAATCAGCCTTCACTGTAGGAGGCCCCTTTGTACCACAGTGAAGAGGCTGTGCTCTGGTGTATCCTTGTCCACAAGAATTGCCCTAATTTTCTTTAGAAAGTACATTTACTATCTCTAGAGCTATTCCCACTCTGCTTCTTCCTCTTTCACTCTCCTTTTTCTTCTCCATGTTATCACTAGACCTAGGAATCTGTGTTACTTTAGGGACTTGGGGTCTTCCGTAGACTAGCTATAGTGAAGAATAGGCTACACCACCAATTACCCTAGGAATCCTTCATAACCTCAGGGCCAGTGGGCAACTAACAAAAGATTGGATGGAAGATAAAGATGGTTGTGGAGAGGGTCAGTGAGAGACATCTTTAATTACAGCTAAAAAAAAAAAGAAAAAAATCCCTGCTCTGTGAAAAATACTCATTTATTAGACACCTTTCTAGAAGAATGTGAGCTGAAGCAGGATCAAAAGGCCTCAGTACAGATCTGGAGGAAGTGATCAACTAAACTACAATGACTGTAAACTGATGCAAACTGGAAATAGCAACGTAGTTTGGAGTTCTGATGAAATAGAGACAGAGAATTATACTATGATGCTCATGGAAAAGCAGAAACTCTGAAGCCCAAATGCGTCAATGTGGAAATGCGCCGTCTCTCATGTTATTCAGAGTCTGGTTGGAATTTGATGAAGTCCCTGCCCGTGAGGCAACCAACCTTCTTCTTATTTTATTAAAGTGATGGTTTAAGCACAATGAACCTTTTAAAAAATCACTGTTACACATATATTCGTATTTAAATTCATCCACACATCAAAAATTGGAAGACAATCATCATTTACATGCCCACAGTAACAATGTTTTAGCTCTAAGCTCCCTCTACTGTCTCCAAAATAACAAATGCTTTATGGCTTTTCTGACTGGTTCAAATATTTATGAAAGCCAAACATATACAATCTTGGGCAATAATAAAAGAAATCCTTTCCTATGATAATGAGGAAGCTCTATATTTGGAGAAAGGTGAGAAAAGCATAAACCAACTCATGAAGTATTTTTATAGACAGAATCACACAAAGTTACCCATTATTTGACCAATTCTAATCTACAAAGGGCAATTTCATATGGCTTTATCTCATACGTAAAAATCTAATTATCAATGAACAGTAGGGGTTATGCATCTGCGTACATGTACAGGTGTGTTAGGGGGTGGTTATTGTTTTTAAGAAATGATTCCTGTATGAAATTCCCTACATAGGCTACTTAATGACATGTTTCTTGATCAGAACTAACCACAGGAGCTTGCTGAGTCCAGTCTAGAACTCTGTGTATTATAACTTGATTTTAAAAGAAAGAAATCTGCCTACAGGTTAGTAAATGTATAGATACAAAATGCTTCATACCAGGAGATAAATGAAACAAATGTAGGAAGGCCATATGTTTACAAGAAGAAAGCTGGAAATAAAATACTGTAGTTAACATTTTAACTGTCAAAAGAGGAAGCAGGGCAATTTGCATAGACTTCAAACAACCTCACACTACTGAGAAAACCAGCAAATCCTGGAAAGAATTAGAAGTCAAAGCCAAAGTCAATACACTTCAAAAACCCTTGGTGATTCACAGTAACTAACAAGAAAGCATCTTCTGGGTAAGTTCACACTTTGCACAAAATAAATATTAATTCTCTTGTTGGTACTTTTCCAAAAAGTAAATATTTTACAGTTTAGAATTTTAGTTTAAGTTTGCCTTTGAAGCTTGAAGAATGTCTTTTGAAGTTATGTTTTCATAGTCCTAGGAATTCAGTGTAGGAATGAAAGATGCCATCAAAGATTTATTTACAATAAGGTTCCCTCAAACGTTATTTTTTTACAGTTACTCTTCACCACTTACATCTTCTACCTAGTATAATGCTCCTATTACTAAGCCCCCAACAAATATCTTCAAGACAATTAATTACAAAAAAAAAGTTGGAAATTTCACAAGAGATGTAAGACCAATAAGAGAATTTCAAAATAACTAAATCTCCACATACTCTTAAGCTATGGAGTTAAATAATAATAAATAATAATGGCCATAATTAAGCATTTTCTACATATCAAAACTTACATATTTTTATCATTTGAAATTCAGTGACATCTACCAAGGTACCCAGAGTTTATCTAACTCCACAGGTTAAATAGTGATTATACCTAGTATATGGTTACTTCGTGATATTCTAATCCAGACTTAATTTCAACAAAAGGCCTTCCCAATTTGGGATTCTTTCCGAGAAGACAGTTTTTGCTACAATTAGAATTTTCTAACACAAAAGCTCTCTTGCCCTCTTTTGTAACCAAAGCAATTTTTAAAGCTGTGATATTTTCCAGCACTAAGGAAACCTGGCATTTGGCCGAGGGTAGTAGGAGAGTTAAAGCCTCTGTTTGTAACCACGTGGGGAAGATTTCTGGGAGAAGTGGCTCACAGAGGCTCCAGGGAAACCCACAGTCTTCCTGGGCTGACCACAAATTGGGGGACAATGTTCTTCAAGGGACATTTGTTCATCCACATCCAGGGACATCCATCCCTCCCGTCTTAGTCACCTTCCTGGTTGTTGGGACAAATTAACCTATACCAGCAATTTGAGGAAAGGTCTGTTGTGGCTCACAGTTTGTAGAGTGTTAAGGCCATAGCTTTGGCTGGCTCCAAGGCATGGCGGCATGGCAGAGGGAACTGGAGGACAGGGAGCTGCTCACCTCACGATAACCATAAAGCAGGGAGTGGAGCTGGCAGCAGCGAAGGGACCTAAGCCATTCCTGGTCCTGCCCACGATGCCCCGCCTCTTCCGACCAGAAGGATTTCACCTTTGAACAGCGAGTCAGCTCTCGCGTCCCTGTAATCCAGTCCCTTCTCAACAGACCCACTTCTGAGCACCTGAGGCTCTAGGGGGTACATCTGGATACAAAGTATAACACTCCCGACGCAAAATATCTTTTACTCCCTAAGGGTAAAACACCCTGCCCTTTCCCCGCTCGTCGCTAGAATCAGAATCAGGAAAAGACACACAGATTCCGATCCCCCCGGCCCCTCTTGGGCCGCTCCCGGCGGAACCAAGCATGTGCGCGCGATCTGCTGTCCTGGGCGGGGTCTCAGTCTCCACTGCCGCTCGCCCCGCCCTCTCCGTGGCTCACAGGGTTTCCTCGCCGCCGCCCCGCCCTTCTGACCCCGCCCCTCCTCCTCTCTTGCCCCGCCTCCTCGCTCCTGCTCCGCCCCAGCGGTGCGCTGTCCTGTCTCCATGACGACGCGGCGTCCCTGGCTCCCGGCTGCAGATCCCGCCATCTGCAAGCCCCGCTGGCCTTGCGTGTCCGCCCTTCTGATGACTGGCTTGACAGGGCCACAGCCTGTAAGAAGCTCAGCGGGATCCGCTGGTCTTTTCTCCCCATCCGGCGTGCGTGATCTCTAACGCCCTCGGCCCAGAGCCTGAACCCTCAAACTTCGCGGCACCTGCAGGTGCAGGCTTGGAGTCTCGAGGCGGCAGAGGCACCGCCCGAGAGGTAGGATCCGCGCTGGAGTGATCCCTCCCCCCACCGTGAAGTCAGACACTGAGGGAGGCAGGTCTGTATTATGTGGGTGCGCACGGTAACCGGCATGTTTGACAAGGCCCGTCCACACCACAGGGCTCTGACCTGCGGATTTGTACGCGCAAACTCCGTTCCACACATGCACAATGAAAATAGCCACATCCGGTCCTGGGGCTTTCCGCTCCCTCCTCAGTCCTAGTCATGGCCCCCAATTCTTGTAGTTATTTTTGGAAACAGTTTAATGGCTTATAGGGGCGAGTACCCACTGGCTATAAAGACATCACTAAGTTGTTTGGCCATAAAAAATGTTTGTGGAATTTGGAAATCTTGGACCTCACTTTCATCTATAAAATGAAGGGTTCAGTCAAGCACCTGTAGGGTCCAGTCTCAATGACTGGAGATTTCCAAAGTCAAGATACAGTCATCTTTTAACTACTGCAACTTCTCTGTACTATGCCCTTATAGCATTTAAAATAACACATGGAGTAATGATCAATTTATTACGTGGCATAGGTGACTTGCTGAAGAAGTTCTACCTCAAAAGAGCTTCTGGAAGTTGCTTTTTAAAAATAAATCTGAGGGGCTGGGGATTTAGCTCAGCGGCACAGTGCCTGTCTGGCAAGTGCAAGATCATGAGTTTGATTCCTGGTACCCGAAGAAAAACAAAAACAAAACCAAAAACAAATCTGAAAAGGACACTGAAAATGTCTTGTGTTTCATTTTTTCAAAAAGTAAATACAGCATCTCCCCAAATCCAATTTGTTTTGGATATTTTACTAGTTGATTTTGTTTTGTTTTGTTGTTGTTTATCTCCACAGAGTGAAACCACTGCCTTTAAGTGTTAAAGAGTTTACCAGACCTGAATTTCAACACCTTTGTGAGGATTCCACCACACCAGCTCCAGAATTCCAGACCTCCCCACCCAGGCCACCAATTAAGCTACAGCCTCTGTGCTCACTCCCCTTTCTTTCCCTGTGCGATCGCGGTCTCCTGTGTGCACTTGGAACTGACTTCCTCGGTGAGTACACTTGCCATCTTGCTAGGTCTTTCTAGGCTGTCAGTAGTAAAAATAGTGATAGGAGGAAGGGGAGAGGTTATAGTCATTGTAATTCTAGTAGGAAATGTGTGCTGTTATTATTAGTAGTAATTATTATAAGCTATGATTTAACCTGCACCATAGCTCTTGAGCTGTACTCTTCCCTTTTCAATGGAATAGAACAGCACAGATTCAGATGATCTGCAGGCATCTCTAGTTATGCTCCTCCCTGTTTCCCCCATCCTAGACACCTGAAGTAGAAGCTTCAAATCATCTTTCTTCTCCTTCACTTCACTGCCCGGTGACTGTCAGTTTTACTTTTCTTTTCTTTCCAAGCGTACCTCTCTCATTTTGTACATCATTATCTTTTCCCTGAACGAGAGTTTGGAAATTTTGTTTTTGTAAAGGACCAGATAACAAATCTGTTAGACATCACAGGCCATATTGCTACAGCAAGCAGAAACACCAAACACCCAGGATTTGGAGGCAGATTTGTTTACATCAGTGGGCATTGATCAGGATCATTCCCAGCATATCAGGTCCTGATCTCTGGTGGTCTAGGGCTTATATGGGATAAGCAAGCAGGAAGTACAGAGGCAGAATGGCTTGCCAACTGGGGGTTGGTTTATACAATGTGCATCATAGTGATCAAGTATGCTTCACAGTGACCAGCCGTTTCTAAGAGACAGAAGCAACCAGAACTACAATAGGAATTATTACCTGGGCAACTAAGTATACTGGCTGGCAGGCGGGAGGGGGCATTTTCTGTTACAATATCATCTTTATGAAAACCATTATAGCTTGGGAGCTACAAGCCAATGAGCAAATCTGTCTACATGCCAGTAAAATTTCATTCACATAAGTAGACAGTGAATCACACTTGGCCTGTTGGCTATAATTCCTAGCTAATCTCCATGGCTAGTCCCTGCTTATTCTTTTTTGGGTTCACCCTCCACTGAATTTTTTTTCTGAAAGATTATTATGGTCTGTGATCTACCTTCAAAACTTTGATTTAGTGTACATTGTCTGTGGTTAAAGCCCTAAATATTTAGCACATGGCAGCTAATGACTTATAATTTGTCCCACATACATTTGCAAGTTCATCTATTGCCATTTTCTACAAATGCACAGCTGAGCTACTCCCCTCCCTCTATTATTAGTTGACTGCTTGATCCTGACCTGGCTACATGCCACCTTCCCTGTGCAGCTTGACTCATTCTTGCTTCCCATAGCAAGTTTGGGATACCCAGTCTTATGATATTCCAAGATTGTGAATGTGATGCTAATGATTTATCCTACCATAGCAGGTATAACTGATCATTTCTCACTCCATGGGCCTACAGGCTATGTTAATTCTAGGTCTTATCACATGTGTGTTCATCTTTTTTGGTTTTCAAAGAGTAGGAGACATATTAGTGTAGGTCTCTTTTGGTTTCAAGTGACCAAAAAATCAGCTTGTTTCAGGAGAGAAGGTTGGGGGGAGAGATTAATTTGCCCTTGGTAAAGGCTAGGTTAAGCTGGAAATAGGGACCCAAACATCAGTAGGGATGTATATGAGAATCTCATTCTTCTTCTCTCTCTCTGCCCTTCCCTCTTCCTCCCTCTTTACCTCCCCCTCATCTCTTCCTTTCTCATTTCTGAGTCTTCTATATATTCTGCTTTACTCACAGGCTATGTTTTCCCTAGAAGGCAGAATCATGAGTCCTAGAAGGTCTAGACTCACATTCTCCCAACTTTATAACAGTTTTCACTTTTTGAAAAGTCTCAGGGAAAGATTGTGATGAGCTTAGCCAATGTCATAGGCACACACACTTGTCCCTGTGTTAGCTTACAAATCACCATGTTATGGGACAGTACTACCCTGTAGTTAGATAGGCTGAATCTGTTAACCAAGGCAGTGTTTTGTATTTGGGTGGCTTGGGTCTGTCTACAATGTAATCAGGAGGTAGGGTCTACAGGCGGATAATACCTTAATTAAGATATTGTAGAAAATATGGTTTTAGAAGGAATACAAGAAGCCCAGAAAACAGGTCTCAGAGCTGGATTCTGAACTAGAAGGTGGTTCAGAAGCAACCTGTCGACTGGATTTTCTTCCTCTGTCTTTCCAGTTGTCTCCACTGCCTGCTAATTCTTTTTGCACTCAGTCTATGAGCCCAAAAGAATTTGTTTGATCCTGGGACTCACCATGATCTCAGTTTAGGCAGTTCGGAAGAATCACATGCTGGCCCCTTAGAGGGAAGCATTTGGTATAATACTTTGAAGCTTGATCTGTACCTTATATGTAGGAAGCTAGAATCTGATTTCAGGCTTCTCCAAAGCAGGTAGTCATCTTTGCATTCCCCAGAGCTTAGCACAGATATCCGATACATAATAGAATTTCATCAGAAGCTCTGTTGTATTTTTTATTTGTTGCTGGGGAACCCAGTGACTTGCCCATGCTAAACACAAATGTTAACACTAAGTTACACCCCCGGGCCAAATGTTTGTTTAAATAGACATTGACTGTTGCATGAACATTGGAGATTATCATAACTGTTGCCCGGCTTGCCACAGGAATTGTTGGAAGACCTCAGGAGAATAAATCCGTGTTCTAAAAGCCAGAGGGCACGCTTGGTAAAGAATCAAAGGGATAATAATGTGCTGTTAATGTTAGCCATATCAACAGTGATGAATATAAAGTGTGCACCTGTATAGAGAATATAAAGTGTGCACCTGTCCTCATCAAGGCCCAGAAGTTTGTATTTGTAATCCCGTGGAAAAACTATTGGAATCCTAGTGAATTAATTCCAGTCTACCACTTCCAGTGCAATCCATGATGAGAACAAAGACACTAAGGCACATTTGTAGTTATGGGGAGCCAAGGGGTCCTCAATCCAGCCATAGTGACTGCCATCTAGAACAAAGGTCTCCACCTAAGGCCAAACCCAGGTTTTATTCATTCATTAAGGGAGTGGCTTGAGGATGAGTGATTGTGAGAATTGTGGGACGTAGGTGAGTGCCATGAGCTGGGTTAGGTGGGAGGCCTGAAATCACCTCTGCAAATGTGGAGAGAAGGATCTGCAGAAAGAGTAATCTGCATAACATAATTGAGATAGTATCTAATGTTTTGAGGTCTGATGTGTAATTTTTCAAGCCCCAGGAAGTCATAGCCTCAACTCAAGGCTCAATCCCAGCCGACAGACAGTGTGGAACATTGGCTCACACATCCCGCCTCATCCCAGCTCACTCCTAGGAACCACAGGTGGGGAATCTGAGGGAATACGCCTGCCAACTTGAAAGACTACCATCAGCACCTCAGTTAGACCGATATGCATTGCTTAAAGCCAATTGAAGGGATAAGGAAAGGGTCCTAGCCAGCTCTGTACATCTCAATACATGGAATTAGGGTTAGGCTCAGCCAAAATGGAGACGACTGCTCTTCTTTCAAGGTGAGTCACCTAGGTGGTTGTCCACACACCTGCAGACTTCTGGGTACCATGAAAACAGGTACCAAGGAGAGAAGCAAGGCAACCCAAGTTCAACATACTGCTTACATGCCTAAAAGAGATGGATAAATACAGAGAAACAAATGGTACTGCAAATTTTAAATTATCTTTAAGACAAATTTTATTTTGTCTCTTTAAAAAATAATATAAACTGGGCATGGTGTCACATGCCTGTAATCTCAGCACTTGGGAGGTTGAAGCAGGAGGATCGTTGCAAATTCAAGACCAGCCTGGGCTACAAAGTGAGCTCAAGGCCAGCCTGAACTGCATAGTGAGACCCTGTCTCTAAAAAGGCAAAAAATTAAAATAAAATAAAAAATAATATATTTACATTGTTCATAGTTCAAGAAGTATCAGTAAATATAAAGCAGAATACCCCTCCTACCCCTCTTCTTTAGCCATCTCTTTATGAGCCAATGAATATTGTCAGTTTCTTTTCTGAAAACATTTCCTTCAGATATATTCTGCGTATTGGTTTCTAAAATTTATGCTATCTTTACAATAGCTTTTCCTTATCTGCTCAGCTTATAGATTGTTGCTTTAATCTTACCTGCTTTCTGAATTACTGCTCTTTCCATGCGGTCCCTGGTCTTCGTAAACAATTATGAGCAGTTTAGAGCTTTTAAATTAATTAATTAAAAGCCTCCACAGCCAGTCAAATGTTTCTCTCAATCACTGCAAAGCACCCTCTGCATTTCCCTAAGCAACCTTAACTAGCTGCATAGACACCTCCCCGGCTTTCCCCTTAGATAAAACATCAACTTATTTCTACTGCAGCCCTCCTGTGTGCCCAGTTCTGTGCTACGCATGTTATCCAGAGTACCCCATGTGCTCCTATGATAGTCCAGGGAAGTTAGTAGCATTGTGAGCCTCACTTTTCAAATGAGAAAACTAAAAGTTCAAGGAGTACCTTTTCCAAACTTACCTGAGAATTGGCAGCGCCGCCATGCTGAATCCAGTCTGTTTGACCAGGAGCCCCAGCTTGATTACTCCATCTCACCTCCTAAGGAACACAGTTTAGGAAGGAAATTAAGTGGGCATTTCCTAAATAATGATAAAGCTGGACCGAGCAGAGGCTGGTCTTCATCAAGTGCTGGGTTTTCCATTCACCAGGTAAAATTGAGAAATGAGTTATGTGCACTTGCATTGTATCCACATAACGGTGGACTGTTGCAAGCCACGAAGCTCTTAGAGCTGGAGAGGAGGGCCCTAAATATGGGTGATGCCCTTCATGTCCTGTGACTACCCACAGGACTATAGAAATCTATGAACTGAAACTATCTAGCAAAAGATGTCTTCTTAGATTTCTTTTGGTAAAGCCTGTGTAGTTCATTATGTAGGGGCAGTTAGGGGATGATGTAGCACATGACCTGGGTGGCCAATGGCTCTATATTTACAAAAAGCTTATGTATGCTATGTACTTGAGGAAGCTAGCCTTGGGGAACTATAACATGCACTTGCCGTAACCTCCTAGCCCCCTGCCCTTTTCCTCAAGCCAGAAACAAAGGCTAAGACCCTGCTTGCCCTAGATAATACCAGTCAGTGAAACAGTTAGTTTTAGAAACCAGTTTACCACTGTAAGTGTGAGTACAGTGGTCCCCTGACCCCTGGGAAATTCACTTGTATTCCCCCTACCTTGTAACACAGTGTTGCAAGGTAGCTAATTCTTCTGCATTTGCACAGTAAATGAACTTTTGCTTCGTATTACTTTCATTTCTGATTTTATCATTCTGCACCCTATCTGACTTCTCTGATCCATGTGGGGGCCCTTTGGCTCTAAGCTAACCTTGCTGCACTTCCTCATTCTTTGCTGAAGTGGAGGTAAGAGACGCTGAGATAGCCAGGAGGAGAGTGGAGATCTTGAAGACCCCTGGCCCTTCAAAAACTACCCACCTGAAGCAACTATTATTGCATTTTTGCTTTAGAGAATCAGAGTAAAATGTTTCCTTTACCCTGGAGTTTGGTTTCTCACAACCGGTTTTCCTCTAATGATGCCTTGCTTTTCTGAAAGGGTTTAACCTCTCTGTGAGCTTCAAATCAAATTAATGACACAACTAATGTCTGGTTTGGTCAGCATTCCTCAGAAAGCAAAGCCTAAAGCAGAAGTCTAGATCTAGAGTCCAACCTATGTAAAACCAAAGAGTTAACAGAATTGATGGCTTATTTATTTTTTGTTTTTGTTTTTGTTGTTCTCCCGGTACCTGGAATTGAACTCACAACCTTGCACTTGCCAGGCAGGCGCTTTGCCACTGAGCTAAATCCCCAGCTCCTGATGGCTTATTTATATATCACTGTTCTTCCATGCAGAATCATACCTGTAGGCCTATTTATCTGAACGCCAAGGTGAAGTGGGAAGAAGGGAAAGGATTAATTTCTGTAGATTTGTAAACTCAATTTAACAATTCAGAAGAAGGAGGTTTTACAGTTAGGATGGAATTAATGCTAATAATTACTAAAACAAAATACTGTACATGCTTAATAACCTCACAAAGTTCCATTTCATTTATATTTTGAATTTATATGAGTGTTTAAAGAAACACTTACATGAAATAAATATTTTGGGTTTTGCAGGAATTATTTAGACAAGACATGCTATAAAGGTAAGAACATGTAAACTATTTTTTACAATGTTTTAAGTCTATTTTACCTTCAATTTATATGGTTTAAAAATAATTGCCATTAGTATAAGATTACTTTTTAGCCTAGGTAACAGAAATATTTACATAAAGGCTCTTAATAAATTACAGTACTTCAAATACTTCAAACTAAAGTAAGAATACTGTTTTTTATTGCTATTTCTATTTTAGGGGCCCACAGCCAGACATAATGGCACATTGCTAATATTTGATACAAAGGGTGAATGATTTATTATTTAGAATGTGTTTGAGCATCATTTTTGTCCTGAAAATTAAGGAAAATTTGGAATGGCTGAATGTGATTGCATAAATTTTACAAGTTAAATCCTTTTGTATATGTCTCTCAAAAAATTCCAAGTATTTCCCAGTTAGAAATTTATGTTGAGAACATCACTTTTGAAATAATAGGATTTTTTCTTCTCTTTCAGGAAACGTGATGATTCAACCAAAGAAAGCAACCTCACAGTAAGAAGATGTCTTTTGTTATTTAGCTGATCTATCACATGCCTTTTAAGTAATTAGAGCTATAAAATGCAACCATTTGTCACCTAATTAAATTTGAAAAGCCAGAAATGCCTGCAACTAGCACTTCAGTTTTTGCTTTAGTCAAAAGCAGTTGTTACTTAAGTAGAAGAATATGTAAAATGAAAATTGAATTCTGCTCTGTTTAGAGGTATAGATAATGTTCCCTTCTACTTTACAGTGCTTAGACATTATATATTTGGTATTTTACTTGTATAATTTCCATTGTTTAGTCCTATTTCCTGCTGATACTTATTTTCTTCAGAACATCTTTAAGTGAATATTTACTTTAAATTAAACAGACTATTTACTGTAACATGCATCAGTTCTACTAAAGAAATAATTTCAACTGGTATTAAAAAATCACAGTACAATATCAACTTCATACCTAAATATAAAGTACCAGTTCTATTCAAAGCACTGATTCTAAGAATTCATTAGAGTCTCTTCCTGATCATCTCATAACTTTTGAAAAAAACTCATAGTATGTATTCTAAGAAAAATTAGCTTGAAAGTGGGTCCTGAATTTGTAGGGATTATTGACAAATTGAAAGGTTGCTTCTATTTAAATTCATCTTATTAGAACTGAGAATATAGCTGATAGGGGCTGGAGATGTAATTCAGTGATATAGCCCTTGCCTAGCATGTTAAAGGTCCTGGATTCAGTCCCCAGGACTGCAACAAAAGGAAATTTACACTGTTTTGGTTTATTCTGAATATCACTGGCTGGAAAAAAATTCTCCTTTATGCAACATTTTACAAGATCGTACTGTTGGATCTAAAAATGTCCACCTTGGCTTTGTTACAACTTGTATATATTACATAAATATGATATGTATTTTTATATCAAGGTAATATAACAGATCAAAGACAGAAGATTTCTGTTTATTTCAATTTAAAAGTTACAACCAACCAGAAAAAAGCACTGTTAGTATAGTAATCTAAATATAATGATATATATCTATTTTGTAGTTGAAAGCATACTTAAATTTAATAATCTAAAAAATAGTGTCTCGGAGGGAAATATGAGACACACATTTCAATAATAATAGAAATTAATAGATTATTGGTAAAAAGAGATTACTATTGTTCCCATGAGCCCAGTGCTCATAGACTATGACAAACAATGGTGAAACTTGAGCAGGTGTAACCCCCATCCTGAGGTAGATGGACCCCAGAAAGAAATCATATGCAACCTAGGCAAAAATAGAAAAGAGATTGACTATTTGTTGTCTTGCTCTCAGTAATTATTGCATTTGACTATCAAACTATTTTTTATAAAGGAAAAATGTTCCCTTGAGTTGACTTGTAGAGAAGAGCAAAGGTGGTTAATGTAGGCTGTAAGCTTCACAGACGAGTGATTTTGTCATCTCAGGCGCCTTAGCTGGAGCTGGAGGTAAACAGGGCTACTCTTTAAAAACATCCATCAGTAGGGCTTGGTGGCACGCTCCTGAAATCCCAGCACTGAAGGAGGCTGAGGTGGGAGGACAGCAAGTTCGCATCCCACCTGGGCAATTTAGCAAAACTGTGGAGGGACCTTTGCTTGGAAAAGAGGGTAACTGATCTGCGAAACTGGTGCATTTCTTGGTATAGTTTCTATTCCACTTTCCACCCGAGTGCTGGCTCCTTTGTCTGACTAGCAAATAGGATTTGCTAAAAGGTCCCTCGATCTAGATTGTATGAGGGGAAACTAGAAGTTTTCTGTCTTTCTTCACCTTAATCTTCTCATTCTTCACTCCAGACCCAACCATAAAGAAAATAACTAAAGCGAATCCACAGCACCCAACTCTGACTAACCTTGAAAAAATTGTATCTGTAGTTTTTTGTTCTATAATCATATGCTTTGTCATCTTTTCTAAAGTGAATGATAAGTTATTTTTTATTCTCATTTGTGTACTTTAAGTAAATGCCTCCTTGGACACAGACCAAGATTAACAAGCAAACTTTATTCTTCACCAACACAAGTCTCTCTAAGTGTAGCTAAGACTTTCTCAGAAAAGTAAGTTTGATTAATTCTGTTTTGGAACCCCTGTTTGAGCAATCTAGATCAACTTATGATAATGTTTAAAATATAAACCTTCTGAAAAAGCAATAAAAATTTGGGAACATTTTCTAAAATGCCCAGCATTCTTTATATACTGAGGAAAAACTTAGCATATGCACCTTCCAACATAAATATGGGATATTTAAATATTCCAGTGGGATATCTAACTTGACTAACTCTGTAGCTGTAATAAGTACTAAATTAAATACCTTTTGTTTCCATGAATAATATGAAGTAAAAATTTGAATCTTTCCTTAGTTGTAACTGTATTTAAGTTAATGAAAAGCTATCTTTTAGAGTATAGAAATAATCTGTTCCAAATGGTCAGAGACCTTATTGTCATACACATTATTACTTTCCCAAATGGAAGTCAAGAGTTGAAGTTGACTAAGTTCAGTTTTAGTTTAGTTTAATTTGAGTTGAAAAGATTAAAATATTATTCTTTGAAACTGTGTATGGGAAAGATTTCAGGGAGTGAGCAAAAAGGAAATTTATTCTTAATTGTTTAGATCGTGACTTGGGCAGTTCTGATGTAGATTGTGCATTCATTGTGCTTGGTGTGATCACCACTTCCAAGTAGTGACATTCCATTTATGGTCCAGCCATGGCACATGTTGAGCACATTCCCGAGTGTTTTGCTACAGTTATTAAAGGCATTCGCAATTACTCAAACACACAGAACTATACTGGGTGTGTTAGTTTTCTGTGTTGCTAAGACAGAATACTCAACACCTACAACTTAAAGGACAGGTTTAAGATGCTCACGGTTTCAGTGCATCATCAACTGTCTCTGGCTGAAGGGAGTTGGAGAGCAAAGCTGCCTAGTTCATGGCAGCCAGGAAATGGAACAAGGGAGGAGGGGAGAACAGAAGGGGCAGGCAAGGGAGCAGACACAGGCCCTGAGGTCAGACCTCCCTGACTGATTCACCCAGACACATCTAAAATTAAAGTGTGCTCCACCAATTCCCAGGGCAGATCCCAAAGACAAACCAGTTGAAACTTCCCTAACCATTATATTAGGTAATTCCCTTACTTAAGTACCATATTTCATAGATCCTTAGGTATATATATTTTTTCATTTTTTAGCATCTCCTATAATTGATGTCATCTTACACATATTTGTCAATATTTTTCTTTCTTGGTGGTACATAAAAGAATGATAAATCCTATAGTAAATATATGGTATCTTAGACTCAATGAAACATTGTAATTCATGAGGGGAATAGCATCAAAATACTTTTTATTTAGATTATATGTTAAAGCTTATAAATTCTAGTAGTCACTTGGGTTTTTTTTGTTTTGTTTTTTTGTTTGTTTGTTTTTTTCCGATACTGGAAATCGAACTCATGACCTTGTGCTTGCCAGGCAGGCACTGTGCTGCTGAGCTAAATCCCCAGTCCCCTCTAGTAATCATTTGTATGGTGATCTATGGCATGACAGGAATATCACTATAGCAAAAGTCAAATATTACAGTGATTTCTTAACTTCTTGTGAACATGTAGAGTTTCTTTTTGAATGCTTTCTCACACAATTGGAAAAATCAAACAAACAGAGGCAATGTAAAAAAGGCTTTTGATTTAGTTGTGAATACCAAGGAAGTAAAAGTTCCATTTCCTCCCATAGTAAGGAACATGACAAGCGGGTTGATTCATTTGCTGCATCAGAATGCAAGACCAGTAACTTAAGTACTAAAATTCTTGATTCATAGAAGTTATATTTCTACAAAACTTTGCAAAGGGAACATATTAAAAGATTCTTAAAGGGGCTGGGGATTTAGCTCAGGGGCAAAAGCGCCTGCCTGGCAAGCGCAAGGTCGTGAGTTCGGTTCCTGGTACCGGAGAAAAAAACCAAAAAACCAAAAATAAATAAATAAATAAAAGATTCTTAAGACCTCAGAAAAGAAAGTTGGAGTTATTTTTTCACAAATAAGGTTCCCACCTCTAAGAACACATTGCACTATACAAGAATCCCTTGTCTCCAAGTGTTAGTTTTAGGCATAAAAGCTAAAAGAGAAAGTTAATCTGTTTTTAGTTTAGTTGTCTAATGAAAAGGCTACTTTCTATTATGACCAAGGGTTAATATTAGTGCTGAACTTTCTATAAGTGTAAAATTTAGCAATGGCAGGAATCTATTTACAGACTTTAAAAAACATGAAACCTCAAGCCTAATTTCTTAAATAACTTTAGTATCATCATGCCACAATCATGTACCAAAGACATTTATATAACTGGTTTCTGTATGCTTTATGTTAAAGAACTCTGAAAAGATTCTAGTAATTTTTACACAATAACAAATGCCAGGTAGAAATAGAATTTTAGGTCCAGGGATTTAGCTTAGTGGTACAGCATCTGCCTGGCAAGGGTGAGGTCCTGAGTTTGATTCCTAGTACCCCCCCTAAAGAAACAGAATTTTCATCATCAGTAAAAATTATTTATAATGCTTTCCTACAAAGATACTATATTTTGGCTATTTAGCTTTACTAGTGGTATATTATATTAAATATAGTATGTTTTCATGAGCCCATATAAACCATTAACCAGAATTATGACCTAGGAAACATTTTTTTCACTACTTACTTTAACGTTTAGGAAGGAAATCTCTTCAAAGAAGATTGAAAATAAAGTCTCTTTAGACATTACTGGAAAGAGAGTAACTTCAAGGAGTACTGAAAAGAAGGATATCTTAAATCTACAGTCTGACCTATGGTCATCTTACTTGAAAGAAAGTGCAGGTAAATAGCATTTGTCTTCCTGAATTAATCGCAGCTTCTAATTAAACCCTCTTTCCATGACCTCTGGGAATTGAAAACACTGTGGGTCTGAGACAGGTCATGGGAATAAAAAAATTTTCAACTCAGGCACTGAGCGATTCTGGTATGCAGCCAGATCTGGGATCTATGGGTGTAAATTACATAAGACAATAATTATAGGTAGTAAGTCCTAGAATAGATTAAAAATACCTATGAAAGCATTCACATGTTCTATTGACCTAACAACGGTTGAAAGCCAGAGTTCCAAGCACTAATTTAGAGGCTATAGATATAATAGTTAGCAAAACAGGTACAGTCCTTATCCCTTATGAAGTTCATGTTCTGGTGAGAGACAGTCAGGCAGCTATTAAAAAGAAATAACATAATTGCCCAGCAACTGATGAACAGATCAAGAAAATGGGGTACGTTGGCCATAATAAATGAATGAAATCTTATCATTTGCAACAATCTAGGCAGAACTGGAGATCTTTATATTAAGTGAAATGAGCCAAGCACAGAAAGATAAATACGAAGATAAACCAGAATCTCACAAGTGGAATATAAAAAAATTGATCTCATAAAAGTGATAGAATAGAATAGAGGATAGAATAATGGTTACCAGAGGCTGGGGGGAGAGTAAGCAAGAAGAAGGGCCGGGGAAAGAGTGGTCAGTGGGTACGAAGCTATAGATAGTAGTGTAAGAAGTTCTGGTATGGCAGTGTACTATGGGGAGATTACAGATAATGACAGTGTACTAATATATCAGCATATGTGCTGTCAAAGTGAGCACAGTGTAGTAATAATTCAAAAAGCCAGGAGTTCAAATGTTTTCAACGTAAAGAAATGATAAACATTCAACCTTGTTTAAACATTCTACAACAAATACATGTATCAACATCACATGGTGCTCATAAATATGTGCAATTTTTATGTGGCAGTTTAAAATAAACTTTAATAACCAAAGCACACAATCAGGAAAGGTAGTTTTCAGTTGTCATAGGTGCTACAATTAAATGGTGTAGGAGGAAAGAACTTCTTTCAGCTTAGGAATCAGGAAACTTCTCTGTGATGCCAAGTATTTGTGAGCTGAATGAGACAGGTCCTGTGACATCATAGATGTCCTTAATTCCTTATTGTGACCTCCCCGATGACATCTTTGTGGTGAGTCAGGCACGGACTGGCTGCACGCTGGAAGTGGTTTGAGGGATGGAGACTGTAAATGAGACAGAAGCAGGTAGATGGGTGATTTGGGTAACTCAGGTGTCACACCCTTGGAAGGGCTTCCTGTCCCTTTTCAGGGAACACTTATGCCTTAGAATCAGAAGTCTTATTTTTTTGTCTGTGCTTTCCTAACCTTGTCTTCTCTGGAGCTCTCCTTGATTTTCTTATTTTCTTCTAACATTAGTGCCTTTACATTATTTAGAATTAGCTCACAACCATTCTCCTGCCAAAAAGGGGATCCCAGGCACACACTCTTGTGAGAAAAAGATGAGTGCATCACAAGTTCAGTCTGAAACTAAAATACTCAGTAAGAAAAAAGAATCAGTAGTCTCACTTATAAGTATTTTTCAAGGAGATGATTTTAGGAGACACAGAGCAAACATTTTAAAAATTATATTATAGTTGCGTATTTACTTTAAGTTGTATTTTTAAGTAATTATAAGACACAGTTAAGAATATGGATTCTGGAGCCACACTCACTCCTAGAATCTAACACTTAACTAGCTGCCTGAAGTTGAGCATGTTCCTCTCCATACTCTAATTTCTTCATCAGTAAATAGGAATAGAAACAATACAATCTCACTGAAGATATTGGGAGAATTCAGTGAGTTAATATATGTAGTGCTTGGAGAAATGATATTGATCATTGTGATGATATTTTAAATTAATCTGCCTGTTAGATTTATGGATGCTAATAGGATCTGGCCAAATTTAACCTCTGAGCTCTTCATTGTTTATTAATTAAATTATATCTATTCTGTTTTAGGTAAAGGGGGCAAAGATGCAGTCATTGCAAAGCAGGAGAAAATTGATGACTATCTCCTTCAAGATATTAATAAGTTGTCAGAATCACTGGATGATGGTGAAGGTGATACCAATGATGAAGACAGTAACCCTAAAAAAGATACTCGTGCCCCATTAGAGTTAATGGCAGAAGTGAGTTTTTTTTTTTTTTTGGTATATTCTAATTTAAGAAATTTAAAAATATTGAAATAGCTGGATAATATTAAGCTGATTAAACAATTTAGTCTACATTAATTAAAGATTTAAAAATGAGTATAATGATCTTTGCCCACATGCCAATGTTCTCCCTGACTACTGATCTCTTTTACTATTGCTACCAAGTTGGAGGTGAAAGAAATTCTAGAATTGTAAGGCAATGTTCTAGTGAGGCACAGGCAGGAGTAAGCAAAGTCTGGGCATAAAACCTTTCAGGCAAGTGCTTTAAGGAATGTGTTCACCATGTTTGTTGCTGGGAATAGAGAGATAAATAAGAGAAACCTGTTCTGCCCTTAAGAACAGCACACAGAGAAATAATTACAATAAGATGAAATGCACGTTAGTAAAAATGCTTGTGAAGTTCTTTGGGGAGAGGGGGATTTAAGTGGCTGAGAAAAGAAGCAGGAGGAAAAAGGGAAAAAGATTTGTAGATAAAAACATAAATACTGTAGAATCTTAGAAACTTAAAAGAAGACAGGAGTAAAAACACTCAACTGGGAAGATTTAAAAACTGTAAACACTAGCTGCGTGGCTTACTGATCACATTCTGTGACCATGATCAGTAAAACTAGGTATTAATAGCAAAATGCAATTATAAATTAAAACCACTTAAGAAGACATTCTTCTACATGACATTTGAATTAAAAAGAAAAATAAAAATGAAAGTGTTTGGAAATTAATGGTAAGCACAACACTAAATATTAAAAGTTTTCAAAGAGCTTAAAGTTTTAATCGTTTCAATGGTGATAACTATGATTCTGATGACTCCAGAAAGAAGTGTAGGTGCACTAAGTGTTAGTGCCAGAAATCGGTAAAACAATAAACATAAATACAATAAGGAAAAGATCAAAGAAACAAGTTAATAATTCAAAGCAAAAGCCAAGTTAACACAGCAAGAACTAGAGATTTGAAAGAATGCATAAACTAATGGATAGCATGATTAACATGGAACAGAACCACAAATAGGAGCGAAAATTAAAATGTTTAAGTTTAGACAAGATGAAGTTTTGTAATGTCAGAATTTTATTGTGTGCATTAACATTGCATGGTTAATATTTAAATAAACAAGATTTTTCAATAAAATTATGGTTTATACAAAGTCTGAATATCTCATAACATGAGATTAGTTTACTAAATTGTTGCTTAAGTAAATATTGTAAAAGAATATTTAATGCCAGGCTGGGGATGTAGGCTCAGTGATAGAGTGCATGCATGAATAGCATGCTTAGCATGCTAGCACCCTCCCCGACATAAAGGAATATTTGATGGCATGGAGAGAAGGTGATCAGAACATGTAGTTTATTTATTTAAAAATTAAAGCATAATCATAATTTTTGTAACTATATATGTGTTCATTTATAGGCAAAAACTAAAAAAATTACATTGAAATGTTGAACATCTCTCAATGGTAAAAATATAAGTGGTTTTAATTGGGGAAAGAATATGTTTATTTAGTCTTTTAATTTCCTATATTAGAAATACATATTGCTTTGTAGTAAGAAAAATACAATAAAAATATAAACAAACAGGATGTTATAAAAAAACTATATAGACATAATATTGAAAAATATTGAATGTACAAGTTTTACTTTTTCAACTAATACTGTCATGTTATCATGGACTAAGTTCACAGGTGAAACCTGAATGTAAACCTGGATGTAAACGAAAGGAATCTTAAAATATTGATGTTATCACTACCTGTGCCAATCATTCTCAAGTTGTCTGGCCATACATGGAGAGTGTGACTGCAGCAAAGCAGGGGTGTTGGACCTATCCCAAGTGCATGGCTGCCAGAAGCCCTGAAATATCACTGACTGACTGGTTGATTATAGACTCACTTCTGGAAAAACATGTTTAAATGTTAAAGCAAAATGCAAGGGCTGATCAAAAACTAGTGTGTACTTAAATAACAAAATTGTATTACAGTAAGAAACACATTGCCACTAATCCCTTTCAAAACACTTCCCCTCATTTCAGACACACTTATTATCTTTCTTGCCACTTTGTGAAGCAGTTCTGGAAGTCTTCTCTCATTATATCTTTACAAGGTATGATTTTTAAAAATAGAATAAATGTTGCTGTCAAGTGCCAGCCAATGGAAAAGCAGGTTCATAAAAATATTATAGTGTGTCTTCATCCACGTCAGTCACAGGATCTGTCACCATGTGATTTTTGCCTCTTCTCTGAAATAAAAATGACTATGACCATGAGAGGTAGATATTTTGAATTGATTCAGGACATCAAGGTACACATGACAGTGCAACTAATGACACTTGTGAAAGAAGACTTCCAGAACTGCTTCAGAAAGTGGCAAGAACAATGGGATAAGTGTGTTTGAAGGGGATTAATGACAATGTGCCTTTTAGTGTAATAGTTTTTAAATCTAAATATCCATCATATTTTTTCAATCTCATTGCATAACTAATCATTAATAGAATATTTTCTAGAAAGTTTATAATTGACATTTAAATTCTCTCTAAAAATACATATCTGAAATATTTTGTTTTCTAGTTCCTGAGAGCTGAAATGGGCCGAGACTACCACCTGGCAAAAAAATTATGTCAGATGAGTAAGTACAAAATATTTTCAATTTTCCAACCTTTGCTTTGTTTCTAGAAATATATTATATTATATGTGAGGTGGTTTGATTATCCTAAGTCTAATGAATTTCCATCTGTTGTCTCAGTGACACTTTGATAGTACATTAATATAAGGATGTATTTAGATGTCTAGAGTGCTTTTTAGTGAAATAAATCAATGTAGATTAGCATAGACTAATTACCACCACTGGAAAATAAGCCAGAACATTACCCTCATGGTAATAGCTCAGTAAATTCATGCTTTAGTTCCAAAGAAGTGTCAGAAAGTACAACAGTCAAGTCTGATAACATGCATCTACTCCACAAAGGCCTGAGAACCCCATATGCCAGGCACTGCGGCAGACATAGGAAGTGCAGCAGTCAATAGAACACAAGCATCCCACATATATGTCTGTCATACAGACAGTAAACTAATAGATAAATGGTGTATCATAAATGATAGGTGTTATAAAGAAAAATAAAAGTACAGAGGATAGAGAAGCTACTGGGAAAGGCAAAGCAGTTGGCAGTAGTTGTCAGGTCTTCACTGAATGATTTGAAGAAGAAGAAACTGGCTGGAGACAGCAGAGGAAAAGTGTGTCAGGCAGGATGTTCAGCAGATGTGCTCATGTGGGGTGTGCAGCAAGGTGCCAGTGTGGCTGGAGCTGAGGAACACGCAGAAGTGTGCTAGGAGCGGAAGTCACAGAGGTCATGGTCCTGGGTCGTGCAGCTACATAGGACTTTCTCAGTTTAGAGAAGGTAGAAGGGATACAATCTGCCTTATTTTTCTTCCCACCCTTCATTTTTAGTAGTTTAATTTATCCAAAATAGTTGGTATTTGCTGTCTGTAAACTATTGTGGAGGTTCATTAAGCTTCTTAAATCTGTGGGTTGATGTTTTCATCAGCTTTGAAAATTTCTTGTCTATTATTACCTTTTCAAATAACACTTCTGTCTCTGCATCTGTCTCTGTGTCTCTCTCTTCTTTTCTTCTCCCTGCCCACCCCCGCAGCTCTTCTTGGGCCTCTAAGTACACGTAAATTAACCCTCCTCATGGTATCCTACATATACATTTTTAGCTCTGTCTTTTAAAATTACTTTGTATTTCTATGCATCCACTTGGTATTTTCTATTGACTTGTTTTATTTATCTTATCTCCTGCTGTACCCATATCTGATAAAACTACCAGTGAGTTTATGAAGTCACAGATTATATTTTCCAATTTCAAAATGTCCATTCAATGATTTGGAAAGATTCCACTCCCTATTGACAATCACCATCTTTTCAAATTTTCTATCCATCTTTTCCTCTAATATATTTCTTATAATAATTTTAAAAGAAGCAATGATAATTCCCTAATTAGATCTTAACAGTGTGACTTAAGTCATAACTAGTGTTGAACTAAAATCTATGGAAGTCCTTGAAGGAAATATAGCACAAGAATTGTGAGGGTCTATACATTATGGATAGAATATTTAACTCTGCCTGATTTTTTAAGTATGTTTCTTGAACACATTTTACCTTCTTTATATCTGAAGTAAATGCTTTGCCTTGCTTAATCCTTCTAAGCATTTTTTGACCCTTTCTCAAAATATGTTGGTGAAAACTATTTTTGGTAGCCCACAATCAGAATTTCCAAAAGGAATTCCCAGAGAAAGCAACATCCGATCCTCTTGTTTATAAGGAAACTGAACCAGAGAAAGGTAAGGAACTGGCTCAGCTCTATCCACAATGACAGTGACACTCAACAGGAGCCCAAGCCTGCTCCGCCCACACCTGTCCCCTCTCCACCGGCTAACTGGACCTAACTGGTTCTGCATCCCTCACTCCCAGTTCTGTGCACTCTTTATGGAGCTTTAATTGCAGGAATGTTTTCATATATTTCATTTCTATACCTATCAATCCTTTTAGAAAGCCTCTGGCTGAAGCTTGCAAAATACATGCACTGGTACCACCACACCTGGCGGTCAGCTTGGGCCATCAACCCTGCAGTAAGCCACATAAACAGCAGGTACTCCAATACAGTGCTTGTTGGCCTGACCAGAACCAGTGAACATACAATAAATGTCAGGCCAATGGGTATGAAAACTTCAAACTGATCTCTCTTCATGGGGTTATTTCCTTTTAAAAATGTCCTGCCTCTCTTCTTCTCTCCCTCCTTCTCTTCTGCTGTCTTTTCTTCTCTCCTTCCAATAAGTATGTGTTGAGCACTTACTCTGTCTCAGACATTGTGCTGGAGAGAAGGCAAAAACCAAGCCACACATTCCAAACCATCTCGGAACCTAACTTTACACATAATTCGGCTCTTATCCCTATTGACTCACCAAGTACACAGATCACACTTTTCAGTCAGTGTCAGGTAATGGTGCCTCTAACACTAAGGATTAGATTATAGGACAAGGAGCCACAGAGGCCCCCAGACAGGGATCAGGGTCCAGGGGTCCCACTGGCAAAGAGCACTGCCCCCAAAGGGGAGAGGGGGCTGGTTGGAATGTGGGCAGAGAGGCTCAGAGATGGGGTATGGAGTGCAGATGGGGTGACTCCCTCTGAGGCAGATTCTTAGCCAAGGGTATGAAGCCAGGGAGGCCCAGGTTCTGCGATGCCAAGCAAGGTCAAGGAAGAATCTAGAGTTCTTGAGGAGAAAAAACAGTAGTTCTTAGTTGTTCAAAAAAAACAAGCTTGGGGCTGGGAATAGAGCTCAGTGGCATAAGTGCCTGCCTGGCAAGCGCAAGGTCGTAAGTTCGATCTCCAGTACTGCAAAAGAAAAAAAAAAAAACAAGTTTGAAGGCTGCCCCAAATCCCTCTCTATATTTACAGCCACCTATACAACGAATTTTTATCTAGCAGGATCCCTAAACATCTATATATAAATCTTTATGGTATAGATATTCTCATCCATTTTACCATTTTCTAGCTCTTTCACAGAGCACTACTTCCTCTTTCTACATACATAACTACTGATGTCTATAAATTACATTAGATACTTCCATATTCATGCATTTATATAGGTATGTATTCAGCACCTACTATGGAAACACTCATGAGATTAGTGGGGTTTTTTGTTTTTGTTTTTGTTTTTTTATTTTAAAGAGTAAAAGAAGAATAACATAGTAATGGGGGGGCTTACCGAATTACAGGCAAAATGGTAGGAAATTATCAATGGTTGTTGTTTTGCATATTGTTATCTACAAGGTAGTTTCTCAGGAAAACAAATAGACAAATAATAGTGAGTTACAGACAAAAGTGGTAGGTTATTATCAATGGTTGTTGTTCTATACTTTGGTATCTTCAAAGTGGTTTCTAAAGAAAATAAATAGAGCTATACATGAGTGACCAATTGAATATTCATTGACTATTCTCAATGGTTGTTTTTTTTTTAAATTTTTTTTTCCGGTACCGGGAATCAAACTCATGATGTCACGCTTGCCAGGCAAGCGCTGTGCCACTGAGCTAAATCCCCAGCCCCTCTCAATAGTTGTTGTAGGAAACACATAGTAATAAACATACATCCATTTACAAAATAGCATAGGAACAATACAAACATTACAGAGTTATGGATAGATTAGTAGGAAAACATCAATGGCTGCTGTAATACATGGTGGTATCTTCAAAGTGTTTTCTCAGGAAGACAGAGATACACAAGAAAGATCTAACAAGTATTTACAGCCTAAGGGTTGTGAAAAATAGTATATTACCTCCTCACCAGTGACTCCTTTCACTGAGGTGTGACGGCTGGAAGGAAGGCTAAGATTGAAAAGAAGGACCGAGAGACTTGCACCTGTGTCTAGCAACAGGCTGTTTTCTTTTTCCTCTATAGTCGTGATTACCCATGGCTCCTCCATGGAGATGACAGTCTGACCAGAGGGAGAAGGCAGAGTATGCCCCGGGCCCCCTCGTTCCTGTTAGATTAACTGGTAGAATGGTTCTGAGCTCTGGGGCCTCCACTTCAGAGGGCAGACCAATCTCCAGTGGTCACCTTTGCATTCAGGGCATGGCCCAGAGGGCTTCTTAGGCAGTTCCTCTTGAGGTGGCCTGGCTTTTAACAGTGGTAGCAGATGAATGCAGTCATCGAGTTCTTCTTGGGCCCCAAGAATCAGACTTAGGGTCTGTTTCTCTTGATGCTGCAGCAAAAGCAGCTGTTTTTTCTCGGTCTCTTTGTTTTCTCTCCTTGGCCTCCTCCTTGTCATGGCTATAAAATACTGAGGAGGCAATTCTTACTAACATCTCAAGTGAGCCATCTGGGGTGAAAGCCATTTTTTGTAGCTTTTTCTCTCCAGCCTCCCAGCGATTGGGACCCCACAATCACTTAGTATCCTCTCCCCAACCATCAGCACAGGCAGCAGGAATCTCGGTGTAGACCTCTCTGGAGCTCCATGCACTCCTCCACTCAGCCTGTACTGTTAGGGGAAGAATGACTTCCAGGGGTTCTCCCCAGGTGTTGTGCAAGGTCCTCCTGGTTTCCAGCTTCTGAACCGCTTTCGTGACTCTAGTCAACTAGACCTCTGAGTCTTCAGGCATAGTCTGTATTCTCATGTTCTCCAAGTCCTTGTTCAGCAGCTGCTCCTCTGCTGGCTCTGGACATTTCTGATTCTCAATGGCAGGAGCAAGAGCAGCCCATTGTGTGTCATGTATTCCCAGGGGTTTCTCCATACCAGGATGATTCACACACATCCCTGGGCGGGCCTCTGTGGCCTGCGCATGGTGGGCCAATTGTGTCATTGCTTCTCTGTGCCATGATAGTTCTCGACTGCGTGGCAGTGGCTGGCCTGAGGACCAATACACGCCAACATGTGCCACTGTGCAGCTTTCCGGACACTGGCTGCCCGCCTTCCAGCTGCCTGCATGGCTGGGGTCTGGCCCAAAGGCCAGAGCTCCCTGCCGTGGGGCTTCCCAGGCACTGGCTGCCTGCCTCCTGGGCACCTGTGTGGTTGGGGTCTAGCCTAAAGGCCAGAGCTCCCCACCGAGTGGCCAAGATTATGTTTAATTGTTAAACAGTTCTATTTCCAGACTACCCCAGAAGTCTTGGAAGCTGAGCCAGGAGTATCACAAGTTTAAGCCCATCCTGTGCAACTTAATGATTTAGAAAGATCTTGTCTCAAAAAAAAAAAAATTAAAAACAGACTGGATATGTAGCTCAGTATAAAGTTCAGTCCACACTACCCCCCACCAAAAAATTCTGTGAGGCAGACATCATTAGCTTCACAAGGAAGAAACTGAGACTAAGCAAGGAGAACTAATTCATATAAAGTCACAAAACTACTAAGAGGTAGAATTACATCCCAGACCTGACTTAACAGCTTGTGATTTCTCTATTTCCTCATCTGACTCATAAGCTTATCTCTCTGGTAAATGTGGCAGAGACTTGGAATATAAATAGCTTCATGGATCAATCAAACTAGCAGTGGCTTCTGTGGCTAACTAGTACGTTTCTTTTCTTTGTCTAAGGTAATTAATTTATATGAAGTAATGCATCCTTGTGCCTCGGAAATGCTGTACATATTCATTCTCCTGCATAAAGTCTCTGGCTCCTGGGGTGGTTACTTGTGATTCAATTACAGGAGAATCCTTTACGTCTTCATTTGGCTGTGGAGCATCTCACCTGGCAGCTGGGCTTCTTTTCTCTTTGCCTGTCTTTTAAAACCTGCGTATTGGGTTCCCCCAAGAAATTTCATCTGCTGGCGTAGATTTGAGTTTTATCTGTCTTCCCCACACAGTTTTTACACAGTCTCAGTCTCACCCCAGCCATTTTCCTGCTGTCTCACTCAGAACTTACATCTCTGCTTTGTGCCATTTCCTACCAGGCAGTGGGGCAGCCTGGGAAAAAATGGCTTTTAAATGGGACTGAAAGGCAAGAGTCCCAGTACTTTTCTTTATTCATCTCATGAATGACTGTGGGATTTTTTCATGCCAACCCATCTGCCTATTTCCTGGCTGTTTCACCTGCGAGTCAGAAGCTGGCTGCTCAGTTTCCTCAGGGCACGACACTAACGCTCCCAGGCAGCCTGAGATTCTACCTTAACACGGGAGACACCCTGAGCCACTGGAAGACCCAAGCCATGGATTTTAACCATGTAAATGTTAAAAACTAATGGTTGGGAAACCAAAATCATTCTTATCATTATAAATCTAAAGCAAATACAGATATATCTTCAGAAAAGGGTTCCTGGCTTCATTTGGAAACAGGAACTCACCCTTTCTTGTTTGTCTTCAATATAATTTTATCTAGAGATTAAAAGTCTGCCTCCTACTCATTTGTCTATTCATCTGTTCTATTTTCTAGTGTTTTGGAGGCTTCCCCTTTATGGCAGGCACCCTGCTGGGAAAGCAACAGTGAACAAAACAAGCACTTTCTGCTCTAGAATTGCTCCATTCTGAGAGACATTAGAGCCCCACAGGCAGCAGAATGCCTTGCTTCCCACACACCACAGTCAGCAGAAAGCACCCACTGAGTGCTTGGGAAGGAACTAAACTGTTCTCTAGTCCATGAACCATTCCAGGAAATCTAATAATAACTAACTTTTACTCAGCATTTACCATGTGACAAGGGCTGGGCTGAGTACTTTACACCACGAAAATTTTATAACTATGTCCCAAGGAATGTTAAAGGATTTCTGATAAGTGCTCCACCAAAAGAATATCCACTGTCTAATAGATTTAGAAAACCACATACCCTACACTTTAAGATTTATAATAGTTTTTAATATACAAATAGTTTTGTAAAGTCTTGATTATTCTTTCGTGTAAGTTATTCCTTTTTTTGTTTTGTTTTGTTTTTTCTGGTAATGGGAATCAAACTCATGACCTTGCGCTTGCCAGGCAGGTGCTGTGCCAGGCAGGTGTTGTGCCACTGAGCTAAATCCCCAGCCCCCCCGTGTAAGTTATTCCTAATTAACTTCACGTATCCTAGTATCCCAAATACATATTTAAAAAATAGTATGCTAAGAGGCTATTGGGAGAAATTCTTCTCTAGGAGACTAGCCTCAGAGAAAGATTTATACTAAGTATAAACATATTTTAGTTCCAGTTAAAATGTATGAAAAGGTGCTTTTATTAAAAAAAAATTATAGTATGTGTAATGATGAAAATACCTAGTATCCTTAAAAGCTGCTTCAAGTTAAAATATATGAAAAGGTACTTTTATTAAAAAAATTATAGTATGTGTAATGATGAAAATACCTAGTATCCTTAAAAGCTGCTTCAAGTTAAAATATATGAAAAGGTACTTTTATTAAAAAATTTATAGTATGTGTAATGATGATAATACCTAGTATCCTTAAAAACTGCTTCTGAGCAAGCACACAGCCACGCTAACCCAGATTGATGGTCAGTTGTTGATTATGTCAGTGGATTAAAAAATAAAGTCACTGCTTTGTTGCACCAGGATGAAAGCCATGGGTAGAGTCCTCCAGTCAGTGGAGCCTTGAACCATCAACAGTTATCTCTTACTTTTAGCAAGATGAATAGCACACTTGATGTTTCAGTGCCCCCTGGGGGCCACCATGATATTGTGCAGGAGTCAAATTAAATGGATCCAGAAAGAATGATAAATACACCTTCGAGACAGATAGGAAGAAGCTGGCTGGTGAACTGTACAGATAAATTCAAAAAACTAAATTAGTCTAGGAAACTCTGAAATCAAACTGAAGCTCTGGCCTCTAGGACATCGGTAACATACCAGCAATTGCACCTAAAAAGCCACTACTGTGGTGTGATCCAGAGGAAGGATGACACAGTCATGTAAAGGATCCACAAAAAGGAACAAATAGTGCTAAACTCAATGGTACAACAAAGAGGGGAGAGCACTGTTAAGCAGGCGATGACTGGGGTATAGATTCAGGTAAGAGCTATCAGTACGAAGAGAAAGAGAGAGCATCAGTTTTCCCTAACTCTGACCCTTTGAGCTGGATGACACCTACGGGAAGCTGTCCTGAAGAGAAAGGGTGCAGGAGATGAGTGATTAGAAAGCACCTTAGAGGAAACACTAGGAGAGCTGTGCTTAGAAGACCTCTAGGCACGCAGTGGCCTCATCCCCAAAGCCTGCATTAGCAGGATCTCTCCCTCTCTATATTCACGAAACACTTTGGTTACCAGCCTGCGCAGAAACCCATACCAGGTGATGGAGATAGAAGTCTTTAGATGGGAGGTAGAAAATATAATGAAGACCACTGCTCTTACAAAGCACCGAATATAACTGGAGCGTTTTCTCTGTTTGTGGTATAATTATGGTGTTGATTGCTTTGTATACTTGCACCTGCTCTGATTAACAGTTTCAATCTCATTCTAACGAACCTGTTAGAGACATTTGAGTGTTAATAACACATTCTTTTGTCCATTTTCAGTTCTTATCTATGAGCCAGAAAATCTTGAGGCCAAGGAATTTTCCTTACTTATTGAAGAAATGTTGCTGAAAGGTAATTTTAAACACTGAAATTCCTTTTCTCTCATAGAACTATGAGCACTCAGTCTTTAAAAGCCCATTATCGGGGCTGGGGATTTAGCTCAGCGGCAAAAGTGCCTGCCTGGCAAGCGCAGGGTCGTGAGTTCGGTTCCCGGTACCGGAGAAAAACCAACAAAAAAAAAAAAAAAAAAAAAAAAAAGCCCATTATCCCAGGAAAGTCAAAATGTGTCTTCAGGAAGTGGTTAAGAAACAGCTAAATGGCTGTGTTGAATAGTTTAGCGAGACCAGCTTGTCCTCTGTGGATGACAAAGATGACAGTCTTCTCTCTAGGAGTGCAACTGCCTGGGCAAAGCAGGCTTCCTGGGTGCCCTTCACCGGGTACCAAAAAGCAGAACATGCTACTCGTCTCCATAGGTTGAAAGTGTTATCCCTTAATTTTAAGGAAAATCAATCTCCTGTAAATTACCCTAAGTCTCAATTTCTCTTACTCCATTGAAGAATTTCATTAACAATAGTAAAAATTATTTTCTAGGCCTACATTTTAAATTGTTTCAACCCACAAATGTCATCATGACTGTAAGAATGTATTTCTTCCTTACTCTACCACCTTGCCCCTTGTAAATTAGCAAAGTTCAGCTCAATTCTTATGTTCCTAAACTATATATTTCTTGGTAGAGGGATGGACAAGGGGAATTATGGCATTTTTGAAGAGTAGAAATATTAAGAAGCATTTACTTTTCTTTCTGTGGCAGAGGAAGCTCAGAACCTTGAGGAAAATGAGGAAGAGAGCGAAGAAGACAGCAGCACTGAGAGTGAGGAAAGCAGTGAGGACATGAGCGACGAGAGCTCTGATGAATGCAAAGATGGGTCGTGACCATCCCTGCGGTGGCTTAAGCACATCATGTATTTTCATTCATGTATCCCATACAAGTATAAAGAAGACTGCTTGTGGTATCTCAGTCTAGTTGCTCTTTCTTTGGTACAGAGTTCTTTTAAGTTTTCCATATTCTTAGTTTGCGGTCCTTGCTAATATTTCGACCTTAGCTCCGTGTGAATTATTCAGAGCAAAATAAAGAAGAAATAATATGTGTCAAGTGTTGCTCAAACTGCTCTGCACACATTAACTTATTTCCTCAACAGCCACCTGAAGGAAATACTACTGTGAGCCTTGTTCAGCAGAAAACTGAGGTACAAAGAGGGTAAGTAGTTTGCTCAGCCTGCTATGCCTATTAACATGAACAGCCCAGATTGATACGTGGACCTTAGGGCTCCAGAACTCACACTTTCAGTCCCCCAGAAATGACCACCATATTGGGCCCTCTCCTAGCATGTGTACAGTATTCTCGGTAGCATGTGTCTGTGTCTGCACTGCTGCTTTAATTACTTGTTCTTTTTAGCCTCTGCTACCAGCAGCGAATGTCACCTCCTTGAGGCGGAATTTATCTTTTTCACTGTTGTATCCCTCACAATGGGACAGGTGCCTGGAAAATGATAGCATGTATTTTATATCCCCAATAAAGAACTGGAGTAAAAGGTAAAGAAACATTTCTATCTTGTCATGAAACATTTACAAGGCTTTATACTTCTTATTATTGATCTACATTCTTTTGCTGATTCTGTATTCCTTAATGAACCTCTCCCACTTTCACATTAGGTTGTAAGGTAACCAAGGTAAGCATGAGAACAATCTGTTTATGAATGTGCCAATCTGAGTTGAAGGGAACCATCCTGATCTTTTATTTGTATGTTAGCCCAATATCATGACGTACTCCAAATGCTTGCGGTGTGGTTTATTCATTAAGGATTTGTGGCCTTTGCACATTCAGAGGAAGCAATTTTGCTGCACTGACTGATAGGCATAGCTGAAAGAAATGAAGGTAGAAAGATATGATCCTCCAGGTAGCCTTTAATTTGCAGTAAATTCCCAGAGCCCTGTGTGTAAATAACCAAATAGTGGCAGAGGTCTAGCTGACACACATCTCAGGAATGACCTGCTTTCACTTTAGTTTGGGCTGAATATTCCTCATCACCCCAGGAAACCCACCAGTTGCCAATCTGATAATGCTAACCTGATTATGGAGCCACCTCCACCCCATAAGAAGTTAGTAGGAAAGATGGTGACATGTACTGATAGGCTGTTATGAGTTAGGCACTGGGTTAAGTTTCTTCATGTTTGTGTTTTTAATACAACACCTGTGTAGGGTAGATATTATTCTCTGCAATATATTATGAGAAACTGCAGCCCAGAGAAGTTGAAAATAACTTTGTACAGACCACATACCTGGGAATTGGCAGATGGATTCAAATTCAGGTCATTTACTGCACTGCCCTTCACGCTGTGCTTTTCCTCCCTCAGAAGTCAGTAGAGAGGAACAGAGTGAAAAAGACAGATATCTTGCAAGGCCTTTCCCTAACGCCTTAGAAAACGCATACAGCATAACCCTAACATCTGCCATGAGTTATAGCCGGACACAGCCCCAGCGGTCCCAGTGTGAAGTCAGAGCTGCCTCCTTTCCTCTCCACCTGTGACAGCCTCAGCTGCCCACGCCCCCCATTTCCTTACATACTGAACGAGGTGAGAACCTGCATTTACTTTCACTAAAATGTGGGATTTTTCCTTTATCTGGTTGACAAGTAAGATATACATAATTGTAGAATTTGCCAGAAATACTCATGTTGGTCAAGAGGGAGCACTTGAATGGAGTCATGGCACCAGGTGGACAGTAGCGCCTAGCTCCAGTGGTAATGTTACAGGTCTGCGTCTCCATCATGGGGGCCTGGTGCTCATGGGACAGGTAAGCCGCCACCCTGAAGAGGATAAAGCCCGCCGATTAGCACGCCAAATAAACCCCAGCTGGGATAGCAGCATGGGGCGGGTGAAGCAATGGGAGATGAGACAGGTGTAGCCTTGTTCAAAGTGTGCCCTTGTGCACCAGGAGACAGCCAGGAGCGTACACTGTGGTTCTCTCACCTTCATCAGCTCCACCCTAGATTATGAATCTACATTAATCATGGAAGCACCGCCCGTTTACGAGGCATGGGCTTCCATCTAAGCCCATTTTAGCCAATGGAGCATGAGCAAGAATGAGATGTGAACAAGAACAAGCGTAGTGCTCTTGGCTACTGGCAGCCATCTGAGAACCGGAGGCAATGCTAAGGGCGGCAGGGCAGAGGGGAAAAGAATTTGATCCTTGACAACATTTTCAGGGCTCAATCACCCAATATTATTGTCAGATCACCACAAATTTTCTTAGCACTTTAACTATTTTGCTTTGGGTTTTCTATTATTTGCAGTTGAAAGTATGTTTGATGTCTGATGTGTCTGCCAGAACACAGTAAGCATAATATTGTCAGTAACATCCCTTGAGACTGTGTGAAACAAACTGACTCTTAGGTTACCCTCAGGTGCCAAGGGCTCATGCCCACCAAAAGTCAAAGAAAGAGAACTGGTGGATCCTGCTTTCAGGTGCAGTGTAAGTAGAAATACGAAACTGGTCAAAATGGTTCATCTCAGGGTTGCTCAGTTGACAAAGGGAAGCAGATAAAATGTGTGCTTTTGTTTATTCTCAAATTTTTTTGTCATGGATATATAGCTTTTATAACTATAAGTTTTGTTTTATTTCATTTTGTTTTTGAGGCAGCATCTCTGTTGCCCAGCTAGTCTCTAACTCTTAAATTCAAGCAACCCTCCCACCTCAGCCTCCTGAGTAGCTAGGACTACAGGTACACGCCATCACACCCAGTCTTCACTAAAAGATTTCCATTGTTGCTGCAAAGTATGCACAACACACATTTACTATTTTGGCCCCCTTAATTGTACACTTCAGGGGCACTGAGTACTTTCACAATGTTGTGCGACCATCATCCCAAGAACTTTCTCACTTTCCTAGCTGGAACTCTGTGCCATTAAATGGCTACTCCTAATTCCTCCTCTCCAGCCATCATTCTGCTTTGTCTCTATGAACTTGACTACTGTGGGTACTGTATATAAGAACTATTCAATAAAAGTCCTTTGGTGACGGGCTTGTTTCACTTAGCATAATGTCTTCAAAGTTCAACCATGTGGTAGCACTTATCAATGTGCCATCCCTTTTTATTGCTAAATAATGTTCCACTATACACCAGAGTTTGTTCACTCATTCATCCATTGATAGACACCAGGATTGCTTCCATCTTTAAGCTGTTGTAACACTGTTATGAATATAGTGTTTAAATATCTGCTCCATGGGCCAAAAGCTTCCACATTAATTAATGCATAGGATAAGGAGAAATCCTAGGGGGTTTGTGAAAATATTGACCATGATTATATTTTGGTGATAAGTTCTCATGTTTCATTATTTTATTTTATTTTATTTTGGTACCAGGAATTGAAGTCAGGACCTTGCACTTACCAGGCAGGCACTGTGACACTGAGGTATATCCCCAGCGGGTTCATCATTTTATTTTATTTTTTATTTTAAAGAGGGAAAAAAAACTAACAAAACAACATCAATGAAGACAAAAAAAAAAAACAAAAATGTTATATGACCTTAAAACAAAATGATAGGAATGGTTACAATGGTTGCTACAGTGCATACTGTTATCTTCAATGAAGTGCTTAGTTCACCAGATGTAAAAATATAAGATTGATCAAACAATCAAAGATAATAACAAGTAATAAAAACCATTGCAAACAATGCAAAGCTTTATCATACAAGGTAGTAGGAATTCAACAATGGTTCTTCTATTGCATATTGTTGTCTTCAAATCAGTCATTCTGATTACCAGATACAAGCATGCAAAATTGGTCAAGCGAAAAGAAAATTTTAAGCATTAATTGTTCCTTTCAATAAACTACAGACATAAAGTTTTTGATAAGGTCCAACACTTATTCATGGTAAAAGCCCTACAGAAAATTGACATAGATGGACTTTACCTCAATCCAATAAAGCCATCTATGACAAACCAACAGCCAACATCATACTAAATGGACAAAAACTGAAAGCTTTCCCTCTAAAATCAATAACAAGACAAGGATGTCCACTGTCACCACTCCCATTCAACATAGTTCTGGAAACACCATTTTAAATCTAAAACTTTCTTTAATAATTTCATATTAGTTTAGAAGAACCATAGATGCATTTTTGACAGAAACATAAAAGAAAATACAAATAAAATTGATCTTAGGAACAGGAAAGTTAACACAGAGAAGGAAGAAAGCACATTAAAACAAAAACAAACCTTTGAGAAATTTGTCTCCATCTAAAATCTGGTAAGTTGAATTTTTATACAATCTGTTAAAATAATGATTTAAGCACTGGTATGACTGGCTGTTCCTGTATGGGCCAGCTGAGATCTCCTGGGGGCTCTAATTTGGTGGGACGTGTTTCTTTGCGCCCCTCATCTGAATGCAAACATAGGAAATAAAGCAACTGACCCAAAAGCTTGACCATACTCACCCTTCAGTTTCCCGGTGCTTCCAGCTCTGCTCAGGGACCTAGATGCCCACCTGCAGGTTTTAGCACTATATTGTCAATTCAGGTGCTCAAAATATGCATCAAATAGTTGCAATGTTCAGGGGCTGTCCTGTGCTGGACTGAAATAAATAAAAAAAAAATAAAAATGAAGGAAAGACAAAAATAAATAAATAGAAAGACAATAAATAAATAAATAGAAAGACAATAAATAAAAAGACAAAAAACCTCGCTCTGTCCTCCTACGTCTTATAGTTTAGTGTGAAGAAAGAAGCACTAAATAAGCAAAAGTATATGTCAAGCAGTTAGAAAAAGAAGCCTTATGGAGGAAAACAGGAGACAATGAAAGGGAGTGTCATGATAGAGCAATGCAATTTTACACAGAAGAATAAAGGAAGGCCTCACTGAGAAAAGATAATGTAAACATGTGAGGAAAGACCAGAATGACAAGGAGCAAGCCCTGTGCATATCTGGGGGAGAACTTCCCAAGCAGATTAGTAATTGCAAGATCCCAGAGGTGGGAGCACACCTAGAATGCTCAAGATGGCAGCGTGGCTGGAGCAGAGCAAAAGGACAGGAGAGCAGACCCCACAGGGCCAAGCAGGCGCTGTCAAGACTTTGGCTTTGACTCTTAGGC